AATGTACTGAGTATTGTAATGAATGTACTGAGTATTGTAATGAATCTACTGAGTATTGTAATAAATGTACTGAGTTTTGTAATGAATGTACTGAGTATTGTAATGAATGTACTGAGTATTGTAATGAATGTACAGAGTATTGTAATAAATGTACTGAGTATTGTAATGAATGTACTGATTACTGTAATGAATGTACTGAGTATTGTAATGAATGTACTGAGTATTGCAATGAATGTACTTTGTATTGTAATAAATGTACTGAGTATTGTAATGAATGTACTGAGTATTGAAATGAATGTACTTTGAAATTGTAATGAATGTACGGAGTATTGTAATGAATGTATTAAATATTGTAATGATTGTACTGAGTATTGTAATGAATGTACTGAGTATTGTAATGAATGTACTGTGTATTGTAATGAATGTACTGAGTACTGTAATGAATGCACTAAGTATTGTAATTAATGTACTGATTATTGTAATTAATGTACTGATTATAGTAATTAATGTACTGAGCACTGTAATGAATGCACTGAAAATTAAAATAAATGTACTAAGTACTGAAATGAATGTACTGAGTATTGTAATGAATGTACTGAGTATTGTAATGAATGTACTGAGTATTGTAATAAATGTACTGAATATTGTAATGAATGTACAGAGTATTGTAATGAATGTACTGAGTATTGTATGTTATACGTATGTCACACTTCAGTAACTTCTCAGTCTCACTGTGTTTCCATAAAAATACGTTCTTGTAGTGATAGGCATGCAAATTGCAATGATTTGTTTTTCTAGAATTTTAAAGATTTATTATCTTAAACTGTAAACTACAAAGATTCTAAAATTTTAAAACTGCAAAACATTTATCACAAGAGAAAATACAAAATTAAGTTCTTTACCTTACATAAAGATCTGTTGGTGGTTTATTTAATAATTTGCCAAATTAACAAGTTTACAATTGCAGCCTTGTAGGAGTTATAGAATCCTGGTCATAAGAAAACAGATGACGATATAAATTCCATACCGTCGTCTCCATGAATTTAACATCCATTTCCCCTCGGGGGTCATTTGTAGTAGTTCAAGTGGAGGGGGGGGGTCGTTCCTTTGATCAGTTTATGACCCCCCCCCCCATCCAGGTATAGTGCAGTATAAGCATGTTTACTGAAGGAATCCTTCATTATCCAATTTGTAGATGGAGAGACCGCAGAATCTAATATCCCCCCTCCCCCCATCTTCTCTTCCTCCTCATTATCCAATCTAAGACCCTTACTTGCTTGCCCACAAGTCAAAGGATTTATTTCTGATTCATTTCCACAATAATTCTTCAACCCATTTTAGTCTGCAGGATGTGGCCCAAAAAACATTCAAATGACGGAATTGTAGTCCAGGGTGTCCCATCATCATATTAGATCGTTAATCGGTCTATATAACGATTTTCGAGATTTATCAGATAATTTCAGAAGAATGAATCATTTTGAAAACTTGAATAAGGCTAATATAAGAATTTTCTTGCGGAAAATGCAAGGTTTCTTGAGTATAATGTTTTTTTTGGCATTAAAACTTGAAGATAATATAATTTGAAATGGGACGCTCTGTATCTTTACAATGTAGGATCTAGCTTTCAAGCATTAATTTCAGTAAAATTTTTTGAAACAAAAAAGGCAAACCACATTTTTAAAATTCCAGTACTTAATATTAAGTTATGAATTTTGTCTTAGCTTACAGGGTGTCCCACGAAACATGACAATAGAAAGACGATTTGAACGTCGTCTTTGTTTTTTAATACATTTTTCTGCATTTATTTGTCAACCTGATTTTAGAAGTAAAATTTTAAAGTTAATACGCACAAAATACTTTTACTTCTGGCATTTCCAAAATGTCGTCCGCTTTCTTTTTGCTTTTTTATATTACCCGTGATTTTAAGAATTTCGCCAGGATTTCGACAATTTTGGTTTAATAACAAAATCGAAATCTGAACGAAATTCTTAATATATCTCCGGAAATATTGACAGCAAAAAAAAGGAGACCACGTTTTGGAAATGGCAGGACTAGGAGAATCTTGTGACTAATGTTTCAAGAATCATGAATGTCAAAGTAGCTGTTGACACACAAATTCCGAGATCAAAGACGACTTTCAAGTAGTCTTGCCACTGTCATGTTTCATGGAACACCCTTTACTATTGTGATAGCCAAACAATTTCGCATAGATAATTTATGCTTTACGAGGCACCCTGCATTATTCATATAACTTTAACCCTATTCCCGCGGGGGGGGGGGGGGTCAATTTGACCCCCCCTGTAGTTTTTTCTACATAACTCAAAAAGTATTGGTCTGAGGCTGTTGAAATTTTCTGACTTTTCTTACATACCCAAAGCCCTCCCTTTAGGCCTAAAACCGGGCTTTAATACTAACTGCCTGAGTCCTCAGGCACACTGCCTGAATGACTGCTTTTGCCTGTAGCAAACTAAATCTTTGTTTTGACCCACTTTCACTTGTCAGATTTTGATAAAATTTAGCTTTTTGGAAAGCCTATGACATAAGGAAACGGATTGCACAAGTTTTGCGAAAAAAAAATTGCAAATTTTTTGCAAAAAACCTGTCAAAGGAAATTTGCACATTTTTAGTTTTTCTTGATTAAAAATCAGGTTATTTAAAATTTTGCAAAAATTTTTGCATATTTGAAATGGCATGGTCAAGGGCTTTTCAAAAATGTATAATTTGTCATTTTTTGGACAAATTTTTTTTTGCAAACATTTTTACTATAAAACTGGATTTTGCGATAAAAAATACAATTTTAGCAAATTTGCAAATTTTTTTGCAGATTCTAAAAGTAGAGCACAAGAGCTTTCTAATGATGTATCATTTGTCATATTTGGACATAAAACATGGGATATTTAGAGGGGGGTCAAATTGACCCCCCCCCCCCAGCGTATCCTGGTTTTCAAGTACCCCAGCGGGGATAGGGTTAAGGTTACCTTATGACGACCATATAAGAAGGTAAAAATTGTCGTAGTATTATCGAAATGAAACTAACACATGTAATTATTTGAAAAAAGTATCGAATTTCTTAATATAAATTTCAACAATATCTTTTGACTTATCAACATCTACATCAGGCGAGTGGGGAAAGGTGCACAATAAAAGATGTCACAATACACCATTATATTTCTTTGAACCACATCTTTTTTCGTCCGGGCCTTGCTTGTGTTTTTTATGTATATTATTTATCATATCATAGAACACGTTTTTCAAATTTAGACAACCTTCATGTTATTCAATATGATTGGATTTTGTCTGAAAAAAAGATATTAAAGCCCAATTTTGCAAAAAATGGAAAATACCTTTTTTTCGTCAGGACCACACACTTTTCTGTTATTTTCTTATTTTACTTCTAACCGGGGATTGTAGAATCTACAACTTAAAATTAACATCTTCTATTTAAATTGTGAACATGTTCTTTTTGTTTACATTTAAAACAAAGAAAAAAATTTTAAGGATTTTAAAAAAAATTCGCGGATTTCCAAGAATTTAATTTTTTTACAAAATTAAAAACCTTTGAAGCACATTTTTTAAATTTTTATCATTCATAAACCTTCCCTGTGGTCACGTGATGTCTCACAAAAAATTTGGGCCCGGTTAGTTCAGCCGCTTTGAAGTTTATTGGATACAAACAAACAAACAGACAGACAAGCCAAATTTATATATAGAAGGAGCATAGCGAGCGGTTTTCGCTTGTTCAAAGTATGCTGAAATAAAAATTTCTATTAATTGTTTTATAATTGTACGAACACGGGAGAAGGCAAGCGGCCAGAAGCCACAACATTTTCCCCTTCCATGCTACATATTGTCTTTTCTGTCTTCTGGCAGCCACAGCATTCTGTCTTCCAGCGATTTCTACGTTTTAAATGACACATTAAAATTAAAATTTTCAAAAATACTGACGCATTCCGCAGAAATTTTTTATACCTTTATGAAATTTAAGAAGTTATTAAAGATCAAAGAGTTGTATATTCAGTTTAGAAGACTGCTTTACGTTTTACATTTTGCATCATTTTACGCACTGTGGGCACCGAGGCCGTTTCTTCTATAAATTACATTGGTCGACAACTTGGCATCTCCTATATTGGTCGTCAAGTGTACAATGAAATTATCTATCTATCAGGTTAGAATTTAGGATGAGGCATCTATCGGTCAACATAACATCCCCCGAAATACGTGAGCTACACGACCACTATGTCTAAAGAGAGTCGAGAGAGAACGGGCTCCAAGTCAAATTGTTTCGAGGTAATCTAAAGAAGACGAGAAAAATCACAATGTTAACCGTAATTAACTAAGCGGAACAGAGTTCCTAAATAACACATTTTGCAATTTACTGGTTAAGTAGTAAATTTTCGGTTAGTTAGGTAGTTCAAATTTTCGGTTAAGGTGAATTTAAAATTATGCATGATGTTATTGTTCAGAATATTTTCAAAAATACCATTTTAGAGAAAAGATTGAATTTATTTTTGGGGAAAATAAGCTGAACATTTTACATCATTCAGATAAGTCGTAATTTCTAATAAACCACTTCATTTAACACGTAACAACTACCAGGAAACACAAATGCATAAGACTATAGCTGATTTGGGAAATGGAAGGTAAAAATATTGCTGATGTCCGCCTGCCTTCACCCACCTTCACAAGATGATCCGCAATTAAAAGATTGAAAATATTTTTAACAATTAAATTTAAACATGATGGCTCAAAATTCGAATTAAGTCATTTTATGAGGAAGAGAAGGTGTGGTTAGGCGAAACATTCATTTGTGGTCTGATAAATGCGTTTTTTCTCCCTCATCAGGAAGACAGATAAACTGATTTAAAAAAATATCATGTACGGGTTAAGAATAAGGTACCAACGCATCTTTAAATAATTAATTTAATCTATTTTCTAAAACTCTTAATTAAACCAGCAGATTAAAAAAGTCTAATCTCGTTTCTCTTTACCGTAAAAATATGTGGGCTGTCAATATCTTTTATTCAATAAAGACAATTTTTACATTTTTCCAACCGTGATCCGGCGACACAGTCGTGACGGCCATCACCAAGATGGCCGATTTTGGCGCCAACATTTTCAAGATGGATGAATCAGCTGATTTCTACCACTGGGAAGCGTTAGCTCCACCCCACGATTCAGCAGGGGCGGGAGCAGCAGCAGTCTGTGCGGCCCAATCAGTGGTTTCTTGGGTAGCGGACCAGTCTTCGGTCACCTTGATATCAATTAATTTTTAGTTTTTTTTTTATAAAGATAACATTAAATACATTTAATTACATAATGTTCAGTTATTAAAGTTAGCTGCAGTTATGGTTCAGACGGCATTTCCTATAATTTGGATCATCATTTAGACCAGAGTTGAAATCTTTAGAATTGTGGATATCGAGATAAATGCCTAGAATTCCACCGGTCACGAGTGTACAAGAGTGAAAGAAAGGATTATAATAAGTTTCCAGTGGATATTCAATATAAGCGATCGGGATTAATGGTATTCAATTCTATAGTTTTCAGCTAAGGAATGATAAAATTCGCCATTTAATGTAATTGAAAGACCCAATTATTTGAAATAACTCACGATTTGAGAGACTTTGCTTTAACTAAAAGTTTAGGTCATATATTTTAATTTTTTTTTTTTAAAGTTTCTGGAGTAAATGGCGGAGTTTATCGTTCATAATTTAAAATTTGAATTTCACTACATACCTGGAAGGAAGCAGCGGCGGGAGCAGCAGCAGTAGCTGCAAGGGCGGGAGCAGCAGCGGCATCTGCGGCCCAATCGTCAGCATCACCTCCCCAGTCTTCCTTGGAGGGAACTGCCATCTCGGGTTTGGATGCTTCAGCAGCCTCTAACCTCTCCCTCTCCTCCTTGTCAGCCTCCTCAGGGTCACGGTAGAAGAACAGATCGGGCATAACCTCCCACTGCAAACATATTATTTAAGAAGTATTTCATGCATGTATCAATTTATAAAGATACAAACTGAAGTGTCCGGCGTTGCCCGTGAAACAAAAAACTCTGGAATTTTAAAAATTTCATTTTTATTTTGCTCATGTTTAACCCAAGGTTTACATGGGTTCCCTCAAAAAAAATTAAGCTTACTTAAAACTATGAGCGAAGAGCTTTCTTGAATAATTTCATGTTATATGTATCAAGTTATGATATTTAAATTTAAATATTTATTTAAGAGCTCTTATTCTAGTTTTACGTGATTCAATAATTTATAGTTAGAAATAGTGTTTCACTTTGCAAATTTTTAAACAGTCTATTTGAATATATTTTTTTGATGAATAAATTTTTGTTAACGAGAGAAATTTAAGACTTTTTCTCTGTAGCCTTTTCCTTAGAATATTTCATTTTAGATAATAGAACTTAAAGTTGAATAAGCAATCAATAAGGGAGTGTAAAGGGATAATGAAAGGGGGTTTAGACTAAAACCTAAGCATTTTACGAGTTAATCGAGACCCATTAGAGTTCTATCTGATGTTCCTGCCTCGAGAAATTGGCAAAAAACTCTTGAGTCATACAAATTCTTACTAAAATGTTTATCTAACTATACGTCAGATAGTCCTCCTCTTAGGTTTAATTTTTCCTTTACACCCATTAACGGACAACAGTCTGAACAACATTGATTTACACCAAATAAAAGGTAAACCTGATTGGTATGTACTAGTAGTTTCAAAGGGCAACTGTATATGCAGTTGTCCAAGCGACCAACTAGGTTTAATCTACCATAACGTAAACACAGTGTAATGTATTAAACATACATGATGCCTGGTTATGGAGTCAGAAAGCTTTTTTTTTCACAAAAAACCGGAATTGAGACCAGAATTCAGGTGTGCATATTTTCCTGAAAAGTCATTTTTCCTCTTTTAAATTATTTTTTTTTTACTACCAAATTTTTTCCCCTATATTATTTAACTAACGGTCCACAGTGCTTAGGATCCGGACCCGTTGGTTCTGCAATATTTTGGCTTCCTGGATCCTAACTTGTAAAAATATGAGGATTAACGGATCTGGATCCAAGGAGCTAAATAACCAAAAACTGAAGGGAAAAACTTTTATACTCAACCCCAAGTATGAAGATAATTTTTTTCCCTTATCTCTGAATGGTTCAAGTTTTAGAATAAAAACAAGCGAAAAGGGACAATTATTACCAAATTTCAGTAAATCCAAAAGAAATCAGTTTTTTCCCAGTGCGGATCCACGATCTGGATCCGCATAAAATTAAATGGATCCTAAGCACTGGCAGAAAAAATGTAGAATTTATTACCTGCATATCCCTGGAGATGGATCCCCTGAGCCTTAGAACCTCCCTGGCCAAGAACCACCACATCAATCCAATGCTGTGAGCAGACTTGTTGTTGCAGGGGATTGCAATATCAACAAACTAAAAAAATGTCGAATTTCAAAATCAATTATTAGGGAAATTAACTAAATAATAAACATCAGAGCCCGTTCTTTCCCTAACAATATATAAACAGTGGCCGTGTTGTTCACGTACTTTAGGGGGCGATAGTTACACTGCTATGTCACGCGCAAAATTCGTATCTTATGCGTTTAAAATATAAATATTTATATCCATCAAAATCAACTAAGAAACAATTTTTAATTTTGAGATGTAAGTTTAGATTATACATACCTTGGTTGGAGAATCGATGTTGCAGAAGGCAACGATTGGGATGTTGGCATAGCTGGCCTCCGTTACGGGCTAAACAATATTATCAACGTTATTTTTTCAAGAATCATTTTATAAAAGTGAGCTCTAATATGTAATCAGTTTTTATAGTTGGCTTCAGTTATGGTTCAGACGGCATTTCCTATAATTTGGATCATCACATTTACTGATACAAATCCCCCAGAATAGGGGTTAGGTGTATGCACATGGTTTAAAAATTATAAAACTAAATAGTTGACAAATAAAAGACTTTGGAAACAATATTTTTTCGCAAAGACATTATAAACAGTTCAGGTAATCCAGCGCAATAGTTAATTTCTAGATTTTTTGAAAATTTACGACTAAGAAGTTCATTATTTCGCAGATGAAAAATTTCCTTAACTTAAGCACCCCCAATAAGTTAAAAAGTTGAGGATTATTAATGTAGTTTTGTAAAATAATTCAGAAAAAATGACATCTTATGGAAAAAATGACCCAAGCATATCATTAAACTTAAGTGCACACACCCCAAAATAATTTAAGATAGTTGACACCCACCTGATGATCAGTCCTGGGGTCGGAGATAACCAGAAGCCTGGGTTCCCTGAATGCAGCCTGGATCTGATTGGTAAATGCTCCAGGAGTGAAACGTCCAGCAATGGGAGTAGCTCCGATATAACGAGCAAACTTCAGGCAGGCACGCTGGGCAAATGGCCTTAACATGGTTAAGAGTAAAAAACAATTAGTCTCTTGAGAGAAGTATTTTTCATTGGTTCAAATGAAGTCAGTTGAACAGGTTAGCTTCAGTTATGGTTCAGACGACATTTCCTATATATGTTGGATCATCATTATCAATGTAGGTTAGCAATAATATCTTATTAGCCCAAAAGACAGACAAAATTTGTCAGAAAACGAAGATTTAGAGTTACATTATGCTTTTTATTGCTTATCTACAGGACGCAGTTACAAAAAAATATTTTTATTGGGAACCCTCGAAAATAAAAAATTATTGGTTGGCATTTATACCTTGGGTACTATGCTACATATCATCCTTTTCCACGTATACTTCTTGGATAAAAAAGTATTTTCAAAGTGGAGATCCTTTTTCAAGAAAGTACACTCCAGCGATTTGAACTTCCCAAAAAATTTATTTCTTTCTTAAAAACGAAAATGTTGTTTACCTGCTGGCAACGACGAAAACGTCGGCGGGGTTCTCAACAGCAGCGATAGCGCGGGCAGCGAGGACCATCTTCTCCCAAGTCTTCTTCAGGTTGATAATGTTCACACCATCGTTCCTCTTCTTGAAGATGTACTGCTCCATGCAGGTCTCAGAGTTATCTGGACCAACGTGGGTGGTGGCAGCCAACATCTTAGTGACGTCATCTTCCTGCAAATAATATTGTAAATTGTTAATTATTTTATGTAAAAATGTCAACATGGTCTCAATGAAGATTTGCCTTTACAAACTCAGTATAAAACTTTGAATATAATAGCATTTAAAAACAAGTTAAAAAAGTAGGTATGGCTTAACATAAAATTTAAACCCATGCTTTATTTCAGTATTTCAACGATTTTAAGTCAACATTGAACAGTATCACACAATTTTAATTAAAAATTGAAGAAAGTTTGTCGGATTAAGTAGGTATAAATGCAATCGAGTGTACAATTCATTGACAAATTGACACCCATGGAGGACGCACTAAAAGGGTCTGTCCTAGTGAACGATTTTTATTGTGACATTCAACATTTTTCAACAATTTCATTTTTAATATAACAGTTGCTTTCAGATAAAATTCAAGTTTTTTCATTCTTCAAATATGTGTTGTTATGGGAAAAAAGCACAAGCTGTTTTGAGGATAAGGGGGAGAATGTGGCTCGGACAAAGCATTTTTATGGCTGGCCCTTTGAACCCCCTTAGCTTTTTCTCCTGTAGTCCTACCTTTAGTAGAAGTTAGCAACCTTTATCCTTTGACTATCGACATTAATCATATTAAGAGCTTAAAGATATTCCAAAAATTGCAAAAATCGTCTTCCTTATACATGATCGTATCAATGGCCCTTTTTTACTCTCACGCAACCTCGAAATATATTTCAAATACACGATGCTAAGGTTTGGTTTGGAATGAACAATGTGACAGTGTTAATCGAAACAACCATTTATCTTCTATATCTTGTAAATTTTTTCTGTCGGAGCTTGTGAATTTTAAATGCGTTAATATTTTACCAACTTTTCTTGTTGTCTAAAGATATTTTCTTATTTTAAACTTATAATTGCCCTCTGTTAAATGTCGTCAAGTGCACGTGGTTACGCGGGTCATTTTTTCTCCACTTTCAACAATGATATGTCTCTCGCTTAATCTGCATGGTTTTAAATAACGAGGGTAATTTCCTAGTATACGATTTTTGGACCCCCCCCCCCCCCCCCCTCCTATCAATTTTGTACATGGGTGTTGCAGGAAGTTTCTTAACTTAACCTAACCCGTGGCCGCAGCGCTCGGTCCCCTAGCCCATCCTAGCCGCAGCGCTCGGCCCGGAAAGTGTCTTAACTAACCTAACCCGTGGCCGCAGCGCTTGGCCCCCTAGACCATCCTATCCGCAGCGCTCGGCCCAGAAAAACCTAACCTAACCCTAAATAATGTTAAATAAAAACTAATTTGGTCATGTACAAAATTGTTACGAGGAGGGGGGCCTGGGGGGTCCAAAAATCGTTCGCTAGGACAGACCCAAATAAACCCACAATACTTTAGCAGTGTCAATTAAAATCTTCCAACGAAGCCCCCGTTTATAGATTCACCCTTACCCAAGACGATTGCAAAGAACTCCTCAAAATGAAATTACTGTAGGATATGTCCTGGGAATAATTTTTGGACCCCACCCCTCCCTATCAATTTTATACACGACCACTTGTTTTTCAACAAAATTTTTATTATTCATTCTATATTATATTAAGATAAGGTCAATTTCTGAGGGGAGCGCCGAGGGTTAGGAGGCCGAGCGCCGCAACCACAAAATCAATGAAATCAGTTTAATTTACAATTAAAGACCCAAAACCCTGCCCCACACGAAATTGAACACGATCCAAGAACATATTTAAGGATTAATGAACGAATATGGTTGGGCTACAAGTTTTAAGCCAAGCGCACGGCCTCATGTCCGGATTTGAACAAGGGTTAGATGTAGAAATATTGATGAGGGGTCCCATACCAACATGTACAATAAAGTACGAACTTAAAACGTAGGGGGGGGGGGATGACAGACGTTATGGCCTTCAAGACAAATCAGAAATACTTTCGTCCGTCAAATACGCATAAAACAAGAACAAAAGTATAAATATATGACTCAAAATATAAAAAAACAACAATACTAAATAATACTTACAGTCAATTTCAGTACGTCAAGTCCTCCAGACATGATTATTTCGTTTTTTATATTAGTTACGGAAAAAACGTGTTATTCGTGCCACATGGAGAGCCGGAAAGAAAGAGGAAAGGAAGTTTGGATGGAATATCTACTGTGTACAGTTTTGACGCATGCGCGGAAACTTTCTTTAAAAGGCCATCAATACGTTTTAAACAAATTTCGGGATTAAAGTAATTTATTGTATGTACAAGGAAAAAGGATACTTGAAAGAGCAAGGTTGAAGATTTTTCAATGGGTTTGGATACGTGTTAAAGAAGAAGAAGGGCGTATACACCTTTGCGAGGGGAGGAGGGCAATGCACCTTTGCAATAGTGATCTTCTTATTACAAATATTAAAGAGCTCAAAAGTTATTTATATTATTTTGTTCAATAAACTTTAGAAATTTTTAAAAAAGAGCATTATAATATGATAGGGAGAGAAAGCACTGATTATACAGTTGATATATTGATACCCTTAAAATTATCAACATTTTTATATACGTAGAGAAAGATTTCAGCTTGTTGTCTTTATTTTGAGAAATTCCTTTTTGGAAAATATGTAGTTAAGATTTAGAAATTCTACAAGACGTTTCTCCATTTTAGGCAAATTAAAGCCTTCTTGTAGTTCCTGACTATACCAAATTTCCAAAAATCTGTTATATTTGCTAAGCTTATTTATACAAAAATTGGACAATGAAATGTGTAAACAAAAAAATTTTAAAACGAAGAAAAACGGAATTGAGTTTTTGTCTCAAGCTCAAATTTTCTAATCCCTCTATCTTTGCAACATGATGGTGTAATCTTTTTATATTTCAAACTCAGACTTTAAAATCTAACTAAATTAATAGTTTGAAATATCACCAGATGCAAAATATAGGGATTAGAAAATCAGAGTTTGTGGCAGACACTCAATTTCTTTATAATTTTTCCTTTAAAATCCTTCAACCAATTTGCAATTAAATATTTGAACAAGATACATTGCAATTATTTAATTAAACCAGACAAATTTACAGGCATGAGTAAAAAACTCTCTGCACACTAATAAATGTAAATTTTTATCTAACAAAATTTGTTGGAGCACTTGAGCCAAATTCAACTTAGCACAATTCTTAACACAATGTTGATTAAAAATAAATGAATTAAGTCTTTGCCACAAACTCAAATTTTCCAATCCTTATATCTTTACAACCAAATGTTGTAGACCTTAGATATTTCAAACAGTAAATTTTGTTGGAACAAATAATCAAAATTTCAAATTTCAAATTACACCCATAGGTTGCTAAGATATAAGGATTAGAGTTTGTGGTAAAGAATCAATTCCTTTGCATTTAAAAAAATTTGAATTTGGATCCAGTGGTTCGGGAAATTTTGTTAGATGAAAATTTGACATTTTTTGGAGTGTGTAAATGTATCTTCCTGATTAGACTCAGTAAACCATTAATTTAGTTGTAAATTTTTTAGATCCGGATGAACAAGTTGAAGTAATCATGAACCAACAGTGATGAACCAACTCATCCAAGTCACTGTGATTTAAAGGTTGCAAGCTCTCAAGCTTAAATTGATGAGATTTTGCCAATTACTTTTTAAAAATTAAAGCTAAATGCAAGTGCTTGAAAGTTCTAAAATAACCATGTTTAGGGCTAATAAAAAGTAAAAGTAATTAGAGCTGTAAAATCAAAGCCAAAATTGTTAAGACCATATGTATTGTAAATTGATGCAACTTTTCATAGCAGACTGAGAAAATCTGTTATTACTTTTTCTCAATTTCCCGTAATTAGCTTTAAGACATTTTTTATTGCACATATACGTTGTTAACCTGTAATTTCGTGTAATGGTCATGCATAAGTGAAAGAAATTGTTACGTGTTATTGTGCGTAACATAATTTTGACTGGACACCATAGTCCAGTGGCGGATATAAGGGGGGTTATTGGGGTTATTTACCCCCCCCTAGAATCCTGGGGGTAAATACCCCCCCCTAGAATCCTGGGGGTAAATAAAATCGTTCTCTACAAAAACCCTCACGCCGTGTTCATACTTCGGCACGCGTTTCTGTTGAACATTTTACATCGAACTTAAATATTTTAGAAGCATTCAAAATGTGTGACTTAATATTTGTTTACTTTCAGATACAAAATGGTTCAGAGAATTACCTACAGGCGTCGCCTTTCCTACAACACCAGGTCCAACAGGACCAAGACCGTACGGACCCCCGGCGGTAAACTGGTGTTCCAGTATCTCAAGAAGAGGCCCAGTGTCCCCAAATGTCCCATGACCGGCCTGAGGCTGAAGGGTGTCAAGCCCGCGACCAACCAGGAGAAGTCCAGGATGAGCAAGAGGTTGAAGACCGTCTACCGTGCCTACGGTGGAGTCCTCAGCCACTCTGCCGTCAGGGAGAAGATCGTCCGCGCTTTCCTGATCGAAGAGCAGAAGATCGTCATGAAGGTTCTGAAGGCCCAGGGCGGCGGCAAGAAGGAATAAATTTGTATTTCTTGAAATAAATCCCTGAAACTTAAGAATTAAAGTTGTCCTTATCAACAAGAACACTTTTTATTCCTTGTTAATATTTCAGATAAAAACATGAAAAAATAAAATTTACAATGAGTAATTCTATGCTGTTGCAACCACCGGATTCCGGAGACTTCACTTTAGGTCATTAAAAATTATTCAACCTACTCGAAATGGAGTTTATGACGTGTGATTTTAACGCTTACCTAAAATTTCCGAAGAAATGTGGATTAGAAGGCACAACTGTACCCTTGTTCTCCTTGTAAATTGATTTTGTTTTTTAATAATGTAACATTTGCAATTCATAAGGAAATTTTCAAAAACAAATTGTGAATTAAGCAACGTAATGTAGAATGATACTTTGAGAATCAGGCATGCTTCCCTTTCGGTCGAAATTATAGCTATAGTTTCCTAAGCCTTAGCTCGCTTCATATTTTTATTAAAATTTGAGCTTTTTGTTTACATGCAGTATCCAATAAGTAAGCAATTTTTAGCGGAGAAATTAGCGTCTAGGAGCGTTTTTATGTCGTTAATTAAAAAGAATTATTCTAAATTCTCTTGTCAGGAATTCAATTCCAATTTGTCAAACGACATAGATAAGAAAGCAATGAATATAACTGAAGAATTACCATTCCTTGTATACTTTTTAAGTAGGNCTCTGCGATGAATTGTTGAATTTGGAATTTTTTCCCATCCGGCACAGTGATGCCCTCACCGTAAAATATCTTAATTGTTTAATATTTTTATGAAAATCCACCCCTTTTAAAGAATTATTTTTTTAACACATAATGAGATTTTACTGCGTGGTAAATATTCTTTTTTGAGAACCAAATTATGTTATTTCGCTGTAGTTTTATTTTCTAAGAACCAAATTATGGTATTTCGGTGTAGTTTATTTTCCTAAGAACCAAATTATGGTATTTCGATGTAGTTTTATATTTCCCAAGGATCCCATTATGTATTTTATATTTCCCAAGAATCAAATTATGTATTTTATATTTCCCAAGGATCCCATTATGTATTTTATATTTCCCGAGGATCCCATTATGTATTTTATATTTCCCAAGGATCCTATTATGTATTTTATATTTCCTAAGGATCCCATTATGTATTTTATATTTCAAAGGATCCCATTATGTATTTTATATTTCCCAAGGATCCCATTATGTATTTTATATTTCCTAAGGATCCCATTATGTATTTTATATTTCCTAAGGATCCCATTATGTATTTTATATTTCCTAAGGATCCCATTATGTATTTTATATTTCCTAAGAATCAAATTACGATATTTCGATGTTTTTATACTTGATAAGAACCATAATAAGCTATTTCGATGTATTTTATATTTTCTTTTAACCAAATATTGGAATTTCCATGTATTTTATTTTTTCAAGACTCGTGTTATTTTGATGTATTTTTATTTCCTAAGAACCAAATTATGGTTTTTCGATTTTTTTATCTCCTATGAACCAGGTTATGGTATTAAAGTAGTTTTGTATTTCTGAAAAACAAAATTATGGTATTTCGTAGTTTAATTGTTCCTAAGAACCAAATTATGGTATTCCGGTTATATTTCTTAAGAATCAAAATATGGTATTTATGGTTTTGATGTAAAGATTTTTTTGTTAAGTGGTAGAGGGAGGCTACATATTCGATTGATAAATATCGTGAGAAAAATTAACATTTGGGCTTTTGGGGAAATTTTCAACAAATTCCTCTAGCAAATAGTTGATTTAAAATATTGCGCCGCCGCGCACTGAAATTTTTGCATGGATTTTAATTATGGATAAACATTTCCGATTTTTTGTTGTTAGATTTAGGCAGTGCCTTTTCATTTCAATTTCCATTTTACTTTTTCTCGCGTATTTTTCCCGGTCGTGTTTTGAGACTTGTTCACGCCGTGACAAAGTGTGGAGTATATATTTTCCAAGCTTTGGGGAAAATTGAAAATTGATCAAAAATTTGAGTGATTTATTTGCCTTTCCTGAATTATTAATTCATTCACATCCATCAAAGTTAAATTGTTTGCAACCAATAATAATAAATAATTATATTCGTTTTGATCATAGTTTTTTTCGAGTTCGCGCGAGAAAAAACCTCTCCTGACAAATTATTAATCAATCAGAGGTCCGACCTTTTTTCTGGAGAATCGTTAATCTTGAACGATTGATCTTGATACCCATTGAGGACACTTAAAGTTAAGAAATATTGCTTGATCCCAAATAATCCCTGCAGGGTATGTTCACCACGGGTAGAGGAATTAGATTAATCAAGATCTTAACTCAAAAGTATTCTTAATTCAGGCCCTTGATTTATGTCTGATGTGATGTTTGTTCCAGGAAAGTTTGAAACAACGTGTCTTCCTTGGACGTCGAAAAAAAATGTCCCGGGATGCAAGAGGGCAAAATTTAAAAGAGTCGTTGAACGAAACTCTCCAGTTTTCTTTTTGGGGTCTTAACATTTCTGTAGATTTTGATGTATTCTAAGAGATGCGAAAAAATGGAGAAAAAGAAAAATGGAGACTAAATAAGATAGAGTTCATAGTCAAAATATTTATTTATACAAAACTGGCTGACCCCATTTAAAATTTAAAACTGGTTCTCATAACAATACCCTGTCTTAGTTTTGGGACGAAGGATGATGAAGGGTACAGATAATGTAAAGATTTACAATCAGAGCCGGCCCGTTCTCTATTGATGTTGGTGGTGTTGTTCACGTACTTAGTAGATATGTTGTCCGCTAGATGTCTCATGCTGAATTCTTATCTGATAGATAATTTCACCGTACACTTGACGACCAATATAGGAGACGTCAAGTTGTCGACCAATGTAGTTTATGGTAGGAACGTCCTCTGGGGAGGTACTTCTGATGAATTGGGAGGATGAAATGAGAAGTTAGAAGAAAAAAATTTCATCCGGGTCGATCCAAAAAAATCAGATGTTTTCCCCTGAAATCTTATTTAAGGGTACCAAGGAACGAAGTATTAACACCCTAAATTTTGAAATCTTTTTCTTACAAACAATCGCAATTTTGTTCTGACTCGTAAGTGAAAAATGAAACATTAACTAAGGGTAAACAAGTTATTTAAAAATCATTCCGCTCTTTATTAATTGGGGTAAATTGCTAAATTTACCGGGGGGGGGGGGGGGGGGATGGATCATAGAAAATGCAAATGGTTTGGATAGGAGAGCTGTTATAAACGGCAATGATATCTTGATGAAATGTAACTATTACAATATTAAGATATTCTAAACTTGTTGAGTAAAACAATCTATTTTTCCGGTAAAAAATTACTATAATTGGAAGAACCAATAAATAGACAGAATTAATGAAGTCACGCATACAGCTAGATTGTACAAATTAATTACTGCTAGTCTTATACCTGATATAATATTGCTTTTTTAATTTATGAATTAAATAAATTTATTAAATTTAAAAAATATGTATTAACAATTTCATGCTAGATGTTTTCAATTCTATATATTTTAGAACCGGAGGATGATCTGGATGCCTTCAACGATGAAACCTTCGGAGGAGCAGCAGAATGGGAAGAGGAGGCTCATGAAGAGCTAGCTCAGCTCACAGAACAGGTTGGCTCTTATTTCAGGTTATATCAGCTCATAGTTCAGGTTAGATCAGGCTCATAGACTAAGTTAGATCAGGCTCAGAGTGAGTTAGGTCAGGCTAATAGAGCAGGTTAGATCAGGCTCATAGAGCAGGTTAGATTAGCTCATAGAGAAGGTTAGATCATAGAAAAGGTTAGATCAGCTGAAAGAGCAGGCTAGATCAGCTCACAGAGCAGGTTAGAATAGGCTCAAAGAGTAGGTTAGATGAGGCTCTTATTTCAGGTTAGATCAGGCTCATAGCGAATGTTAGATCAGGCTCTTATTTCAGGTTAGAGCAGGCTCATAGAGCAGGTTAGATCAGGCTCAAGGAGCAGGTTAGATCAGGCTCAAGGAGCAGGTTAGATCAGGCTCATGGAGCAGGTTAGATCAGGCTCATGGAGCAGGTTAGATAAGGCTCATGGAGCAGGTTAGATCAGGCTCATAGAGCAGGTTAAATCAGGCTTATGGAGCAGGTTAGATCAGGCTCATGGAGCAGGTTAGATCAGGCTCATGGAGCAGGTTAGATCAACTCATAGAGCAGCTTAGACTAAGCTCATAGAACTGAAATTTAAGATATGGCTTAAAAACAGCAATTCGTTTTTAATGTTTAAAATTTCTGTCGGAAAAGTTTTATAGTTTTCCCAATGTTCTTAATTTTTTTCTCAATTTTTCAAGACATTCTTTGTCAAAAAACCTGTAGAACTTAAAACCCTAGTATAAAACTTTCAAAAATATTAATAATATCATTTTTTTATTTTCTATAGGTTAGATCAGCTGGTAAACTTAAAAAATGTAATATTTAAGGAACGAATTGCTCTCCAGAGTTCTAATGACTTCTTTGAGTTTGGCTCCGAGGACGGAGACTCATTGGAGCCTTTACAGAAGCATAATGGAGCTAACGGAGCAGCTACGCAGCTGTCTCAGCTCAGCCTGGAGCCAAGTCAGCAGGCTCCATTATCCATCCAGACCTCTATTCCAGCTCCTCTACCTCCCTCCATACAGGGAGGAGTTTATCATCAAGGAGTTCAACCTGTTTATCAACTTCCACAACAGGTATCCCTCCCCCCCTCGAGGTAGGGATACTACGTCCGCCATGAGCCTCCCAGATAGGCAACATAGTATCGAGCCTCGCTGAACAGTGATTTTATTTTGAATTCTAAAACTCTGGAAAAGGAAGATATTTATAAATTATCAAGTAATTTAATTTTCTTCAACTTCAACGTCTTCGCCGTTCAAAACCAATAGGGTTTAAAAAAAAATATTGCTGTTTCTTTACCCGAAATGCATATGCTTTCAGATTTAAAATCAATAATACTTAACAAATTCGCCAAATTTACTTCAACCACTGATAGATTTTAATATGGAAAATCAATTTTTATAAAAAATGCATGATCAATAAAATTGATTCAGGTTCAATACAACTTGATGCCTCCCTCCCACTTCCAGGCGGTACAAGGAGTACAAGGAGTACAGCATGTACAAGCAGTACAGACGGTGCAAGACCCTCTGATGGATCCTGCGATTATGTCCTTCAGTAAACCTCCCCAGTTACCGAATATTAACCAGGTTCCGACTCAGTATACACAGGTACAGGAGCCCTCCCCCGCCTGTCTCTTCAGAAATCGTTTTCCCCCAGAGTATGCGCATAATTTTTTCTCAGATTTATATTATAAATTATAATTAAGAGGATCTTTTAGGCGAGACAAACAAATCAAATTTTTCGGTTTTCCCTCAAATCAACCGATATTAAATCTTCAAAATATAAACCCCTGTCCGATTGATATTCGTGTTTCTGTAACGTATTTTCTAATTTTAGAGTTCAGTTATTTACAAATCAGATATTGGATAATCCGGATCCGCAAAAATATGTGGATCCCGGATCTGATCCAAGGGGTAAAAATCCACCGAAAACTTAAAAAAAAACTTACTCCTAAAACTCAAATCTAAACTTTTAAAAAAAGGGAGCTTATAAAAATTTCCTCATTTCTGAATGGTTCATCAAGTTTTAGGTAAAAATAAGCGAAAAAAATAGAAGAAAAAAAATTTTAAATTATTTTTTGTTGAAAAAATTCAGTAAATCTTAAAGAAATGACCTGGATCCGGATCCATTTTTTTCCAGTGCGGATCACGACCAAAACTAAATTGATCCTTAGCACAGGATTTTCCCCTATTCAGCAAATAAAACTCCTATTTTTTTCAACTCCTGGTACGCATATATAACTTCTGGTGGAAGAAAAGATTAATGGGAGGGGGAAAAAAGATTTTTAAATGGGGGCTGGAGGGGAAGAAAAATTGATTGATTGGTATCCTAATTTCGCTTTTCTGTTGTAATCGTGTTGGTATTTAGATACAGATGCCTCGGGGTAACTTTCCTCCCACCCATCCTCCTGTCATTCAACAACAACAGTTCCAGCACGCCAACAACAGCTTTCCACAGAACAACAGCTTTCAACCCAACTCTTATCCGACACCATTCCCGGCCAACATCATGGGATTCAAAACTATTCAGGTATTATTTGTCGGATAATCTCATTTTTTGAGAAGTTTTTCTCTCAATATGCTAGGAATATTGTTGTAAGGGTTCTGCTATCACTAAGTAACTTTAAGGGAGAAATAAATAAATTTTGTATAATCAAAAGCTTCTTTATTCAAACTAAGAACTGGGAGTGAATGTATAGTAGTATCCCGTCTACGGACCAATGATGAAGAATACTTCTAAGGTCGATCTATCCATTTAATATGGTAGTGTACTATACTTTTCATAAGTAATGTACTAATTATTTCAAATAAAAGCCAGCAAAAGAATTTATTTGTCACATAAAATCAACAATGAAAAAGGAGTTTCTAATAATTCCCTCTGGTTTAACAATAGAGCTCCTCTATTATTTGTAACTTTTTTTTGTCAAATTACATTCTTTTTAGTTTTTAAACCAAAAAATATAAAATTAAAAATGCCGAAGATTTGTTTTATATAAAATAGATGTACCGTCGTCAATCAGTTGTCCACTGCAAACACTTCGACACTACTTTTGTGGCACAACTGCTAACTTTTCTTCTTTGTTTTTCCCTTTTCCTGTTATAGTTTTTATCTATTTTTTTTTTGTCACCTTCCTTTTGACATTTTGTTTGTCTATCGTTGCTATCAGCCCAAACTAGTTTTCACACGCTCCTTAGATCCTTAGATATTTAATACACGTTAAATTAAATTAAAAACATTTTTTTTTAATAATTAGGATGTGGAACATGAACTTCTGTACGGGCCCCGTCCTGTTCAACCTGTCGGGCCTAGCTTCCCGCCCAATCGGGGGGTTGGACACGCCTATCCACCTCCTCGTGGGCACCCACAGCAACAACAGTTTCATCAAACAAATAGAAACTTAAACTACCCCGGCATGCGGGATAGGCAGGGACACCAGGTATCTACAGAAGTTGTTATATGTTTTAGAACTTAACCCTATAACGATGGGGATGGGGGGGGGGGTGTTGTCCACCCCCTGTGGTTTTTTCTAAATAACTCAAAAACTGTTTACATTAGAACGCTAAAACTTCCTCGCTTTTTCAACATCATAGTTGTGAACTTTTGCAAAAAAAAATTTTGGTGAATAGACTAGGGTGTAAGACAGTAAAACTTCGGGTCGGTGTCGAAAAAGAAACCGGAAATGGTCAATAATTTTCCGACGTACTTTTGAACGTTTTTTAAATTCTCCCTTGCACCCTAACCACTAAAGTTGGAGGTTTTTTTTTAATGAGCAGGCCTTGCAAGATGGACTAATGACTTGTGCCACTCTCCCCTATCTCACAACTGAAAGGGAAAAATCATAGGGAGGGGGGATATTAGACAAAAATAGTCCAACCGGGTAAGGGTTAAGGGATTGTTTTAAAAGGGACTGTAAGTGCAATTTAAAGTGTCACTCCATACAAAGATGGCAATTTCCAATTCACATCGGTACCATTTACAGCTTTTTCTGATCAAGCATGAATTAGATATCAATGTTTAGAATTTTAAAAATTAACAATTTTCAATTGTGGTTTCTTTCGAAAGTGACTCGCGCATTTCTATTGCAGGAAAACAATATAGAAATTAAAAACTTTTAAAGATAGAAGAACTACAATAGCTTCAACACTATTGATCAGATAAAGGTTTCAATGGTGCCGTTGTAAATCCATCATTGTCATCTTTACATAGAGGGTTATTTGAAATTGTTCTTACAATCCGTGTAAATGTTCTCGGACCAGATTAAATGAATTTAATAAACAGCGTCTTTTGAATTAGCGCTCAAGAGAAGTGAATGAACTACATCTATGCGATTCAGCTACTTGGAGATACAAATTCATAAAATCTGGCCCCTCTTAACATATTGATGATGTTCAGAAACTGTATTTTTTTTTGTAAATATGACAGATTTAACATTTTTACAAGCGTGACATTCCTTTCCCCAACTCCGGACGATTCTGACCTTATTTTTTGATAAACTAACAAGTTTTTAATTAATCTATTTATATTTTCTAATTACTCAGGGGTAAAATGATTTTCCCTAGAGACATTGTGTCTACACAGTACACATAGTGATGTAACCAAATTAATGTCTTCCTCTATTTAATTTGTTGAATAATTCGATAACAGCAGAAAATTTGCTGGGCGCGGCTAAATGGGGGGGGGGGTCTCTGTTGTATCTTAATTAAAGATTCATTGTGAAATAATCCCTGCAATCTACCCTCTTTAAATCAGAAAAGATTTTTTAATGATTGTTCTTTATTTTAGGTTTATAATGATATTAACAGTCAACGGCGTCAAGAGAATCAGCGCCAGCTTGAAAATCAGCGTTATCAGGATAATATTAATCAACGTTACCAAGAAAATCAACGATATCAAGACAATTCTCGAAATCAGTCCTGGAATCAGCGCTCTGGGGATAATATGAACCGAAACCGTCCTTACGACAACCGTGACCACCGACAGAACGAGGAGGACCGCTACGATCATCATGATCGTCAACAGAAGAGGTTTGAGAGGGAGGAAGAGTGGGAAGAGGATAGCTGGAGATGGAATGAGGTTAGGAATAGAGCCAGGGATAGCGCCACACGACGAGATCTGATGCCAGGGCAGGTTCATGTTCAAGGTATACTGCGCCACTCACGCGAGCCGCGCTTGCGTGATCCTGAAGACGATTGTCTGGGCGATGATGCACCCTTGTTTGAGCCTACCGGGGATCCTGTCCTAGACGCTAAACTATCCCAGGAGCAGGCGGAGTTAGCCAACAGGTAAATCATAGTTGTCAAGCGCTCAGCAGCATGCAGGGATATTTATTGTTTAAAGAAATCATCTCCGACTCTACCCCCAGGCTTCCCCATCCTTGCATAAAATAATTTCCTTTATTTCCTATAATCCCCCCCCCCGAATATTTCTTATATCTAGATGTCAAATATTGATATTTCTAATATCTAGATGTCGTGAGTTTGATGAAACCGAAGACGAATATGCTGGATTAATGTCTCATAGGGACAAACAGTTTATTATCAATATCCAGCTCTCACAGGAATATTCAAAATAATAATAACTAACAAGATTATTTTTAAGAATCCTTCCTTTTTTATTAAATTTTTATGCAGAAAATTGATTATATTTAATAATTAGAAGGTTGGAACTTGCGTTGAGTATCGTTAATCTTGAACAATCGATCTCGATATCCATTGTGGACACTTTTAAATTTGAAAATCAATGCTTGATCCTTTAATTTAAATCTATTTTATTATTAAAGTTGTAAACCGAAAATCGAAAACCATTTGATGATTTTTTTTGGATATTGTTAATCTTAAACGCTTCATTATATTCAATGGAGGCACAGTTATCCGCGCTGGGTGTTAACTCATAATATTAAAGAGGAAATAAACTAATCCAAAGATCTGCTTAACCCTATCTCTGCTGGGGTACTTGAAAACCAGGATATGCTGGGGGGGGGTCAATTTGACCCCCCCCTCCCTCTAAATCCCATGTTTGATGTCTAAATTTGACAAATGATACATCATTGGAAAGCTCTTGTGCTCTACTTTTATAATCTGCAAAAAAATTGCAAATTTGCAAAAACTGAATTTTTATCGCAAAATCCAGTTGTATAGTAAAAATGTTTGCAAAAAAAATTTGTCCAAAAAATGAAAAATTATACATTTTTGAAAAGCCATTGACCATGCCATTTTAAATATGCAAAAATTTTTGCAAAATTTTAAATAACCTGATTTTTAATCAAGAAAAACTAAAAATGGGCAAATTTACTTTGACAGGTTGTTAGCAGTGTGCCTGAGGACTGAGGCAGTTAGTATTAAAGCCCGGTTTTAGGCCTAAAGGGAGGGCTTTGGGTATGTAGGAAAAGTCAGAAAATTTCAACAGCCTCAGACCAATACTTTTTGAGTTATGTAAAAAAAAACTACAGGGGGGGGGGGGCCAAATTGACCCCCGCCCCAGCAGGAATAGGATTAAGATTGAGATCAACGCTTGATCCTGAGATTTACAACTCAAGTTTTGACTCCTTCAGGAAGGTTTTAAATAATCTCGCAGTAGTCAAAAATTTTAAAAGTGCGTTTGAAAACAAAAAATTTTGTTTGGGCTGAAAAATATCTAAACAACTTTCGTACTCACTATTCAGTGAGGTGGGATCAAGAAAATTGTACCTTTGCTCTATTTTTCAAAGTATACGTGTTTTTGTATTGATATATTTATAATGATCTCATTATATCATGATATCAAAATAAATCACGAAATATTTTTATTTAGTAAATCATATAATTGGAAAATCTAATTGGAAGAAATTTTTCCTGACCGATTATTCGACAGATAAATTAATATTTTGATCAGGAAACTTGATTAAAATTTTCTCTTTTTAATTTTTATCCATTTTTATTGATAATTTTTTTAAAGATTTATATTTTTTTGCTTTTGCTCAAATCTGAAATAAAAAAGGAGATTTTTATTTACAACTTTTTGTGGATCCTGCAATATTGGGATGCTTTCGATTAGATAATTTGGTTCCAAAAAAAAAGACACGTATGCCGGAAAATTTAGACAAGGATTTTCGACATTCAAAATGAAAATCGATTAATTTATCAATAATATATTTCGACAGAAATGAAATGTATTTTTTCGGAAAACTCAACCTAGGTCCCACTTTGACAAAAAAATCATTAAAACCTTCTGCTTTTTCATTAGATCCTACAAAAGTTTGATTGTTATCAGTAAATACATCAGGAAATGAACGACTTTTAGAGGAAATTATAGAATTAAGTAAGGTCCAGGTTTTATAATTTTGCTGGCATTTTTCGTTATCCTACAATCATGATCAGAAAGACTCGGAAATAATTGACAGTTAATTAGGCGACATTAAATATATATATTTGGCAATTTTAAATGCTTAAAAAGGCAGACCACATTTTGGAATTTTTTTATCACTAATATTTGTAAAACTAGTTTGTAAAATCGTCTGATTAATTGTAGATTAATTCTGGGTCTTTCTGATAAGCTCTCGACTTTTCCTGAATGTTAGTTAATTGTGAATATCTAGTTGAAATGTGATAATCCATATGTAGACGATTACTACTTCACCATGTTTACTGCCAAGTAAGAAAATTTTATTTTCATTTATCTCTAAAAAAATGTGTTTTGATTTAAGTTTTAGAAAATTATGTGCTCGTGTAATAAAGAAATAGGGGGAGGGGTTTAAATCATCATATTTAGCTGGAGAATAAAAAACATAGTAATTTTTGGGATTTTTAAAATCTAAAGTCTCGCCACAGAGAATTTTTTCCACCTGTGGAAAACTTATTTTATTCTTTTTATTAGAAGGAATTTATACTCTTGGAATTCTGTGAAGTGCTGAAGTTTAATCAAATTCAATCTTAATATTAATGTTAAAATTAGGTTAGAAGAGCTTGAATCCAAAGTTTAAACACATAATTTGTTTATTCAAGGTGTAAGGGTCTTATGAGGGGGTGATGTAGATATCCCTATTTTTATAGCTGAAAATTGATGGTCGGGAAACTTAATGTTTTAGTGTATATATATAGCCGGTGTAACTCAAATTTCCCGGTCGCGGTACACAATTATCTACGATATAAGAATGGAATATATACGCTATTCTGAATCAAAGATTTAAAGGGGACCATTATTCACATGGAGGCTAACTCAAAACAACGATATCAATCACTTTAATTCAAGTTTTCTCCGCTAGGCAGCAGCAGCGGCAAGATCCTGGGAATACAGCGCAGCTCCTACTTTCTGAACTCTCGGAGAGTGGAGATGCAGAGACAGAATATATTCCTACACAGTTCCAGAACTCTCTTGGTAAACTCCAGGTTAGTTTACAGTAATATATTCCTACACAGTTCCAGAACTTGGTAAACTCCAGGTTAGTTTACAGGAATATATTTCTACACAGTTCCAGAACTCTCTTGGTAAACTCCAGGTTAGTTTACAGGAATATATTCCCACACAGATCCAGAACTTGGTAAACTTCAGGTTAGTTTACAGGAATATATTTCTACACAGTTCCAGAACTCTCTTGGTAAACTCCAGGATAGTTTACAGGAATATATTCCTACACAGATCCAGAACTCTTTCTGTAAACTCCATGTTAGATTTCACCTTTGCTACTTGTAGCATTCCTTTTTCACTTATCATGGTACTACGGAGACAGAAAAAACCAGAACAAAACTAAAAATCAGAAACGGATCAATTAACGTATTTTTATGTGAAACTAAATTAATTTAACAAATTAAAAAAAATATGCAGAAAAGCAGATCGAGCAAAATAAAACCAACTAAAAAAATAACAAATTGGATAATTTGAAATCGATGTTAAGTGTGAACTGTTTAAAATAATAGGTGATCGAAAAATAAGGGAAATCAATGAACAATGCGATATTTTGACAAAAGGCTAAATTGTTTCAGAATATTTAAAAAAATAATTGATTCGTTGATGTGATGGTCCGTTCCTCTAGCAATACGTATCATACAAATTAATGAAGGCTTTGTGTTCTCCAATTTTGAAAAAATGATGTTAAAAAAGAATTTATTTTCTAAAGGTTGTCACTGTGAAAGCACCTCGGCAAATCATAGATGTTGGAGTGGTTAGATGTCAGGTATAGTAATCCGAGATAGATATTTATAAATAATCGTTCAAGTAGTCTTTGGTATCCTGTTACATTCATTTTTTCTAGGATTCTCGTCGTTAATTTTTAAACTACGATGGCTGACATATTGCATCATTTCATACGTGCTAGCTTTCATATAATGTTTTTTTTTCATATGATTTCATTTACTAACAAAACTCAATCTTTCGTTAACTTACTTATATAGATGAGGTCTGATTTCGATTTTTATTTCACTTTAAACAAATTCAAAAGAAATATAAACATGCTTTAAGGGATTGTAAGCGTAATTTAAAGTGACCCTCCATTTAAAGATGGCTGTGCCTAGTTTACAACGGTACCATTGAAGCTTTAAACTGATGAATATCGTTGAAGATATTGTCGTTACTCCTGGTTAGGAAGAGTTTATTTCTCTTAATTTCATTATGTTTTCCTGTAGTAGAAATGCGCAAGTCACTTTTGTGAAGAACCCCCAATTGGGAAAAGTTTTTGAAATTATAAACATTCATATTTAATTCATACTTGATCAGACAAAGTTTTTAACAACACTGCTGTGAGACGGGTGTAGTACTATTTGATTTGCTTTGACTTTAAATTAGGATTACAGTCCCTTAAATTAGGCTTACAGTCCCTTAAATTAGGCTTACAGTCCCTTAAATTAGGCTTACAGTCCCTTAAATTAGGCTTACAGTCCCTTAAATTAGGATTACAGTCCCTTAAATTAGGATTACAGTCCCTTGAAGCATGTGTAATGTTGTAATTTCTTGAACCGATATACAACAAAAGGTCATACTTATTAATTTCATTAAAAGAGGCAATTGTTTAAATGATAAATTAAATTAACATCCTGTAATTGTTTGATTGAGCAATCCTGACATTTTCTTATTTGATTTCAGGAGACAAGTAGTCCAGTAGATGATACTGGTGCAGTTACAGACCCAGGATTAACTGTAGTTAAAGACCAGAATAGGAAACTAACACATTTTTATAAAAAAAACTCCGTTTCAAGAGATTAACAAATATATGTCTAAAATATTTAAACATTTAAATAATTTAGAAACAGAATTTAAGAAGAAAAAACGCGTTTTGGGCGGTACAATATTATAATTCTTAAAGGGAAAGTAAGCGAAATTTCAAGCGACCCTCCATGCAAATAAGGCAATGCCCCATCGTACTCTTGAAACCTTAACCAAAAATATGGAGGAAACGGTCATTTTCTGAGGTGTTAAAGTGTTCAATTCAGATAATTCCGCCATTGCTTTTTAAACGTAGGAAACCCACAAATGAAAATTGATAGTTAAAAATAAAATTAACGAAAACATTGAAATCTAATTCTTACTGAATCATATCAAACAGCTTTTAAGGCTACCTTTTGGAATCGGCCATTGCCATCACTATATGCAGGTTTACTTAAAATTGCGCTTTAAGTCCCTTTAATTCTGGAATTTATTTATGTCACACTGTGCTCTTTTAATGTACATCCACAATTTTCGTCCTTATCATGGGTGCGTCCATAAAGAGCTCCCGCGCAATTGTGTTCTTTTTTCGCGCGAGTGTGGATGTATGTACAAATGTATATCTTGTGTACGACTCGAAATATTTTAACTTTATTTCACAATGATAATTTAATTTAATATAATGCGGTATATTCAAATTCAGACGTCATAAAATTTATTTCTCATCCCGAAAGAATTGGACTGGAAATATTATTATATTATGGTGAACAATTGCAAGGTTATTGTGTTTAAGTTTCCACTAAAGGTAAAGGTGAAACTAAACGGCACTTATTTTTAAAAAAAATGCTCAAATCCACCTTGCACCAGTACCAAACATTTCTTGGATACATTTTATAAAAATATATAAGATTTTTTTTAATGATTTTTAACTCCTTCATAGTTTTGCTTTTTTTTGTGTAAATCAAATTGTAAGTCAGGAAAAAAATCGTCTGAATAAATTAAGATTGGTATCCCTCTTGAAACACTGAGTGCAGAACAACTACAATAGCTTCAACATTATTGATCAGATAACGGACTCAATGGTACCACTGTGAATCGACCATTGTCATCTTTGCATGGAGGGTCACTTCAAATTACACTTACAGTCTCTAGTAAAGACAATTATACCAATAAAATTATGGTTTCGATATGAAGTTTCGAAGTTTTAGATTATAATTGCATTCTTTAACTTGAAATTACGCTTACTGTCCATTTAATTACTAATCTTGTGTTGGTTAGAGCCCAGGATTACAAAGGAACCCTGCTCCAACTAGAACGTGTCTACAATATCCTACTTGAACTAGAGAGTCTAAAACTTAAACTCTCGGCTATCCCTACCGGGGCACCTCTCAGAGAACAGGTCTAATATTTTAACCCTGGGATATACAGAGCGTCCCATATCATGTTAAATTATCTTCAAGCTGTTGACGCCAAAATACGCAAATATTACTTTAGTTTTTAATAATTATACATAGTGTCCAATTTCACATTCGATTATATCTAAGCTTTAACGCCAAAATACGCATATAAAAATCGAAAAACTTGGTAATTTCTGCATAAAAAATTTATATATTTGATTAATACAATTTTTTTAAATGATTCATCTTTATAAATTTGCTGAAAATCGCTATTAAAGGTACGGACGGTCTAATATGATGTGGGACACCCTGTATATTTTGTTGTAAAATCCTTTTCCTACCTTCTACTTCTGGCTAGTTCAGATTTATATATTTGAATGTTTTCTCCAGGTTACATTGGATCTGACCCGCCAAATTCAAATCTTAATTGCGGGATTAAACAAGCCCTCTCTCATCCCTCAATACCTACAGGTTCGTTATACTTTCTGAAAGGGAGAGATCGGCTAGACAGACATGGTAATTGAGCTGAAATTAAAGTATATTGTAGAGAAAAACTTTAGGATTTATTTTACGGTGTACACTTTTAAATACGAGCGTAAAGTCGTTTGTAATATTTTACCAGTTGTTTCAGTCAGCAGAAGAAACGTTCTTTGACAATTATTCGATAACCCGAACAAAACATGTTAAAAATTATTTTATAGGCTAAATTGCTATTTAGGAACAAATTTCTTCAAAGAAATTATCGATGAAAGCCAAAGTAGAACTGTATAATCGACATTTCATTTCATTTATTATCAATACTGAATACCCTTGCTGTTTTTATAATTTGGTGTTTCTAGCCGATCTCTCCCTTTAAAAGGACTTAGAGCATAATTTCAAGGGACCTTATATTTATTATTTAAAGGATTGCATGTCCACATTACCACCGCCGTTGACTGTTATTATCATTATAATCCTAAATAAAGAGCAACCATTATAAAATTATAGTTTGTAATTTTGAGGGGGTTAGGATTAATTAACAATCTTAATAAAACAAGATATTCGTATATATTTATGTTGCGTATAGCCGGCCAAACGGCTGGACCGATTGGGCTGAATTTTTTTGTGGACACTCATGGGTCATGGACACCCCCCGTGTTATAAGCTAAAAAAATCGAATTTTTTGTTTTCAATTGTTTTTTTTTCAAAATTTAAAAAAAAAATTATGAACGGGCAACGCCGGGCCCTTCAGCTAGTTAAAATGTAACAGTTAAGCCGCTTCCCGCAATTTTTCTCCTCTTAAACAAATTGATTTAACAAAATAGATTGAGGAAGATATTAATTGGGTTACATCACTCTGTGTAGACACAAGGTCTCTAGGGGAGAGAGATGGTGTGTACACATTTTATATTTACAGGGGGGTCTTCAATGTATATTATCTTTAAAAATCATTCTCCCCCCCCCTTATATTCGAATATTTTTCTCCAGATGTGGGCATAATTTCAACGAACTTAATTCAAATAGAATTGCATGGATCAATTAGAAGTTCCATTTTTTGTTTAAATCAAATTTGTTTCGGTCCGCCAACATCCTCTTAAATTTATAATAAAATAATAAGATTTGGAAAAAATTGTCCTTGCAAACTATTATTATATTTATTAGGTGAGGAAGGGTCGAGGATTGCTGTCTAGATGCTTGAAACATCTACCGGGTGCTGCGGCTAATAAAATATGCCAGGTATTTCATTAGTGATGTAATATTTTTCTTATTTTCTTTACATCCATCGCTAAAAAAGTACTTGGAAGGTTTAGCTTTAAAGGGAGTGACCGGCTATGTAAGGTAGTTGAAACGTTATTTTTTACACAATTGATGATTTTTGATATTTATTCGCTGATTTAGGGAAAATAAATTAATTTAAAGAAAAAGAACCTTCTAATTTTGGGCTGAAAACCTTGTAACTTCAAAATGGGTAAAATATATTGAATGAGGAAATTGATCTACCAATAATATTATGTAACTTGAACCCCAGCGGGAAATTAATTCAGAGGTGTATATTTTCTTTACAAATCATTCCCCCCCCCCGCTCCCTCCCCATCTTTTGAAAATAATTCTTTTCTTTTTTCCCATAAGTTATGTACGTTTGCGCGGAGCGGAACATATTTCTTTATGGGATTAATCACAAAACTGGGAGAAATCAGAACTTTTTATTGAAAAATTTTATTTATAAAGGGGGTAAAAACTTGCCTTTTTCCCCTGACGCATGAAAATTTACTCCCTGAAAATGTATTTCACTGGAAGTTTTAGTGTTACGTAACATGCCGCTAAGCTGTCAATTTTTGTTAAAAGATTCGTAGATAGATTTGCAGATTTTTTTTTTAAGATTTGTAGATTTGCCTGCCAAGGGTCACTTGAAATTAAGTCTACAGTCTTGTTTTTTTAAGTTTGAGTATACTGGAGGGAGGAGTATCTGGGTGGTCCCGGGGACTCAGTTTAACCTTAATACTCACAACACCGTTAGGAGTGTCAACCCTCCTTGCTGTTATATATAGAGCAGCCTCAGCGGCAAAACGAGGTAATGATTCTTACTCTGATGCGTATTCTCCTTGTTCAAATATAATCCCAGGAGTGTTTCGGATCTACTATTTCATAATTTTTCTATTTTTTTCTCACTGATAATCTGATTGGACATAAACAATGTATCTACTTTAATATATAATACTAGCTAGGGAACAAAGCGTTGCCCATGAGTTACTCCTAGTTACTCCCGCCCCACCCACGCTTAGTCTTAAATTACGATTTTAGCTATTTTTCCCTTTAAAAGTAGAATTTCAACCATGTTAAGAACATTCTCGTGGTTCTCCCGAGTTCACCAATACAATTTGAGGCAAATTGGTCCTGGGGTTCCTGATTTATGATTGGACAACCAAACAAATAAACAGAGATTACAACTTTATATATTTTATATTATGTAAGATTTTCCCCTATTTCTCAGAATAATTTTATAACAACAACAAATAATAGCAAGGGACGTCCTTCAAGACGGGGCAACCCCGAGTATATCTGTGATTCCTCGACAAGACTAGGTTCGAACAAAATGTTACTAGTCAATTAAAGGTTTAAGATTTCATGGTTTATAACAGTGTTTCGGATCCATATCATTTTGATTCGGATCCGGATCCGCGGATCCGCATCCGTGATGATGACGGATCCGACCAAATGATACGGATCCGACCGGATCCGGATCCGAAACACTGGTTTAAAATATTAGTTTCTGGACCCCGATCAAGGGAACTTAATAAGTCCGGTTCTATGACGCCGAAAAAGTTCTTACCTGAATCATTTTATTATTATTATGATAAGTAAATAATTGTTGTTCTCAAAACACAAATCTAAATTTTTAACTAAAAAGAGATGTAAAAAACTTTTCTTTTAATGGGACATTATTTTTCAGCGTAAAACTACGCAAAAAAGAAGATAATTATTTTTTATAAAATTGTATTTGTTAAAAATCCCAGTTTATCTTGAAAAATGTTCAGGAACTGAATCCGGAACCTTCTTTTTTCAGGGCGAATCCAGGATCCGGATCAAGATCAAAATGAAATAATCCTTAGCAATGAATGTTGATGATGTTGATGATGTTATAGGTCAGGAGAAGATATCTGTGAGTGTGTGGAGAGAACTGATCCTGGCTGTGTTGAACTGGATTAAGGAGGAGAAGGAGGAGAAACTAGGAGAACCTCTAGTTCCTCCTCAACCCCTAGATATAGGATTCCTTCTCACGCTTACTCATAATCAGCATCAGGCCTGGGAGGCATTCTTGGTAGGATCTTTATCTAAGGGTGTCCTCTGTTCATTCTAAAAGAATTGAAGACGTTTTTGAGGGAGAATAGAACACTATGCCATTATAACAGTGGTGTAAACTAGTCATTTTAAGGGAGAATAGAACACTATGCCATTATAACAGTGGTGTAAACTAGTCATTTTAAGGAAGAATAGAACACTATCCCATTATAACAGTGGTGTAAACTAGTCATTTTAAGGAAGAATAGAACACTATCCCATTATAACAGTGGTGTAAACTAGTCATTTTAAGGAAGAATAGAACACTATCCCATTATAACAGTGGTGTAAACTAGTCATTTTAAGAGTGTTCCCTATCATATTGGATAAACCAAGTCTTTTCTGCGTTCAAATTTTTATTTTAGGCTTGTACAATTATTTTAATTTGCGGATTTTTCCCGAAAATCGCAGGCCATAAACGATCCGAAATAATGTGGGTCACCCTGTATGAGATGTGTAGGGGGGATTTAGGAAAAGGAAAGAGGGGAAAAGGTTGAAGAGGAAAGGGAAAAGAAAAAACGAGGAAAATTTATTTTGTATTTGCTGGTTTTGGCTACCACAGGAGGCTTAGCTAACACTGTTTAAGAAAAGTGTTATATTTCTTCTCTAAAGGGGTAGGGGAAGGAAAAAGGAGGGAATTTTGTTGTATCTGCTAGTTTTGGATCACACATGAAAATAAGCTGAACCTTGTTTCTTTTCTCTCAGTAGAAATGTCAATGTTTTCCTGCACATTCATGAATCGTGACTGAAAAAAGGACCTTTAAAAACTCTCAGGGGAACTTTTTTATTGGCTTTAGGGCACTTAAACGCTTCTATGCTAGTTAACTCAAAAAAATTGGCAAAGGGGGCTCTGCATTCTGCATCACCTNCCTAATATAAAAAGTACCCGTGTTTAAGTATTGCTTTTGGGATTAACAAATCATTACTTAAATTGGGCATGCATGTATTTTTGGGACAAGAGGGGGGCGTGGGGGACTTAGGAAATAAATATATATTCGCTGATAATACAGATTTTCGGAAGAAATAATATTTTATGAAGGCGAACCCTTTTTTTATTTAAAGTTAATTGATTTGATTTGATTTGATTTGATTTGATTTGATTTGATTTGATTTGATTTGATTTGATTTGATTTGATTTGATTTTTGACTGGTTTTATTTAAAATGAAAAATATAATAAGGTGAAAATTATTATAAAAGCGCACTTAAGATATATTTGATTAATTCGGTGAAAGATTGAATTGGATTCTGTAAATGAAAGTTCTTTTATCTCAGTTTTAATATAAGGACGCTAATGAAGTTTTCTTCATTCAGCATCTTCAGATTTAATTTTGTGAAGAATTGTAAGTTTTAGATCTTCATTTTTTTAAATTATTTTTTATTTATGATTTTTAAAATTTTTCAGTTGAAAGTTGGTGTTGAGGCGGTTTAGAACACAAGAAGAATGAGGAAGAATATTAAAAGGGCTGAAAGGGATGAAAAAAGGATTGAGACGAATTAAATCCATAGATTAATGTTAATACAGATAGAACACTAAATGTCGTCTTTTCAAGATTTAGGGGTTTTTCGTTTGCAATAACCCTGAGGCAGAGGCCCCACAGGAGTTAGGCACATGCTCTCTTAATTCAACGCTGCCTGCGAGGAACCCCTTTGGGCTTCTGCCGCAGGATAATTGTAAACAAAAAACTCTGAAACCTTGACAAGACGATATCTAGTGTTCTATCTTCATATTGTTATTAATATGTGATTGAATCAATATTCAGGATATTAACAAACCAGAATTTAATTCTCATTTTACATTTACTATTTTTTCTATATTTATTGGCTTCTGGGAGTTCTGTATGATCCTAAAGATTTCGGATATGTGTTACTTTTCGGAATTGTTAAAAAAGTACAGGAATCTTGAATGCTTCCCTAAATATTGTATTCGGAATACATCCGGAAAAATTGTATGTATGCGGAACTATTCCGGAAATATTTGATGTGTAGGGAATTATTGAATTCCAGACCCCTATTTGATGCTTTATTTTTAAACCCAGCTCCGGTATTGTGCCTCATTTCCTGTCATATAAAAACTTGCATAACAATTAGTGAAGGATAGAAATTGTAAAAAAAAATGAAAAATATGGAGGAAATTTGATCACCAACGTAATGCAAATCTGACATTCTTTTATACCGTTACACCTACATACAGTCGTTTTTATCCAGTGTTTTAATGCCAGTGTCTAAATGTTGTAATTTTTGGGGCGGTGAACACTGAAGCTAGGAACTCGATATCTTTGTTTACTTAAATTGTACTGCAGTTGCTGGAAGGAACATAATATTATTTAAATTTTTTCTCTAAAGGTTACTTTCAAAGGATGTGATTTTAAAAACGTTTTATTATTTCAAATATGGTTCCCAGCAGGGACATAAGATAATTTATTTCTATTCTAAATCGATTAACTTGTTATTTATACATTGAAGACAGAAAGCCAAGTTGAATGTTTCGATCAGTGTATCTTAAGAGTTACAGGTCGTCACTTAAGTCTGGTTCTTTGTGGATAACCTAAGATTTATTTAAAGACGGATCTTGGTTTCCTAGCACTTCCTCCTTGGACATAATCAGGAAGTAATGAATAGAAGGGAGATATAACTGACGCGGTTCGCCCTACCATATGATTATACATGCTTTGCAGACGGGTACTCCATTTGTATAAGAAATATTTGTCTGATGTACTATAACCGCGTATGCAATAACCTATTATGAATATTTTTTATTCAAATGTAGTACCGTCTGCAAAGCACGCATAATCATATGGTAGGGCGAACCGCGTCAGTTATATCTCCCTTCTATTCCTTACTCCCTGGACATAATTAATATTCCGTTATTATTCATTATTCATGCTAATTGATATTTATGCAATACTAAATATGTTAATAGGTATTATGGGTATATACAGGGTGGTTCACGAAACCTGAAGATCGTCTTTGATATTTGAAATTATTTGCGGCATTCATTCTTTACATGTATGATTCTTGAAGCATGATGATTACAATATTCTCCTACTGTTTGTGTGCTGACAATATTATCGGAGATAATAAGAATCTCGTTCAGATTTCAAATTATTTAATAAATCCAATATTTTCTAAATTTTTACATAATTCTCACCCTCTCCGGTATTATCGAAAGCGCAATAAAGGTAGACCACATTTTAGAAATTCCATGACCAGGGGTATTTTTTTAACTTCAGAATTTTGCTTAAAATTAAGGTTGCAAATTATTTCAATTTTTCGTGGGACATTGTAGATCCTTCGGATCAAGTTATTTAAACCTAAAACAGTTAGGAGTTAAACTCAAATATTAATAATGAACCTCCCCCTCCCCTATCCCTAAATTATCCTTTATTTTTTTATCAATCCATGTTTATTATCCTAAAAAAATATGTATAATAATTAATAACCCTGTTCTAGAGGAATATATAAAACATGAATTAATATTTTATGATGAAAGATGGAAGGGGATATAGTTAGTTTAAATTGTTTTAATTACATCCCATCATTATAGATTAAATAAATAATTAAAAATAAACAGGCTTTTTGTAGATTTTAGTGTTCTGAAGCGATGTATTTATTCTCATATTTCTTGCTAGTTGTAACGTTTTTATAAAACTGTAGAACCTCTTCATAATGAAAAAGTAAAAATCTTTAAAATGACGATTCAAACTTAACTTTAAGTTTAAACACTAACATTGAGTGTTAGAAATGGGCTAAATCTGCAGATCTATCTTTTTCAAGAGTATCTTTTAATCCAAGACGGGAAGAACAAAATTACACCATGTATTTATAAAAAATGGCTGCAAGTATATATTGAAACAATAAATGTCAATTTTAAACTAATAATAAGGTGTGAGAATTAGTTTTTGATGATTCTTGATTTCATTTTCGAACATATCCCTACTTTGAAACAATTACCGGATTTCGGCTCATGTCGCGTTTTCGGAACTTATCTAGGTTTTGAGACAATACCGGAATTCAGCTCATGTCGCGTTTTCGGAACATATCCTGATTTTGGGACAATTACCGGAATTAATATCAATGTCAATTTTCAAGTATTAACGCACTTATGAAACAAAACGGGATTATTTGATAAGGTAAAATATAAACAAAATAGAAAATAAAAACAAACTGTTCTTTTGTAATTTAAAAATCATAACAGCATTTAGAAATCAAAATACTAATATCATTTGTTCTTACAATATAGATTTAACTAGAAATACGAGAAACTGTATAAAATGCTTGAAAATAAATCAATTGGTATTCTCTCTTTAATAGATAAAATGTGGAAGCTTAGATTCTAGAAAAAAATCAGAAGTTAATTTAGTCTTCATACGATAATTTTTGTTTTCAGTGATTTATTTTGTAAGTTATGAAAGTGAGTTTTGGTGTATTGAGGATTATACTCAAAACGGGAAAGTGGGGTTTGTCTCGATAACGTGACAATGTTGCAAATTCAGGATAAGTTCGAAAATGGAAATTCTAACATTGTCTTGAAAACGGTCAAGAGATTTAATATAAAAAGAACTACTGTTATAATTTTGATTTTTAAAAAAGTTTAAAATCGGGAATTGTTGTCCTCGTCATGTTTATTAAAATTTTGGTTATAGTTTTTATTGTCGACTTTTACTTTGGATATTGGCCGGGATCCCAAAAACCCAGTCCTTCAATTTGCACCCATTTCTAACACGCTATTGCTAGAAACGGGCTAAGTGTTAGTTTTGGAATTAATGTCCCCTGAATATCTGCTCGCTAAGTTATTAAATGAAACATAATATTTTGGTCTTAAATACTGCTGCAATCTCAGTCGAACTTATACTTTACATTGCCTTATCATTACTACTATGTAGGGTTTCTAGCGGAAGCAAACTTTCGCGCTAAAAAACTGTGTTATTTCCACAAACTCAGATTTTCTATAACCCCTTTATTTTTAGAACCTGATGTCGAGTGGACCTTTGATATTTCAAACTATGAATTCTAATAAATCTGATCAAAATGTCAAATGTCAAATGTAATGTCAAAGGTTTACACCAAGTTTCAAAAAATAAGCGTCAAAAATGTGATTTTGCGTCAAAAATTAAATTCCTTTGATTCCGCATTTTTGCGCAAAAATAATTTTTTCGGAAGCAAGATCAAATGATGCGCAATTCTTCGCAAAACTTTCTACTACGTGGAAATCTCTGCTTTACAGTCACCATCCAAAATCAATCATCAGTTTTCTTATATTATATATTTACAGTCACCATCCAATATTAATCATTAGTTTTATTATATTATATATTTACAGTCACCATCCAATATCAATCATCAGTTTTATTATATTATATATTTACAGTCACCATCCAATATCAATCATCAGTTTTATTATATTTTATATTTACAGTCACCATCCAATATCAATCATCAGTTTTATTATATTATATATTTATAATTTATATTTGTTGATCCATGTCTAATTTAACTACAATTTTTCCCTCGCAATTTTAACCATCTTTTAATTTTTTCGAGCAAAATTTGCAGAATTCGCATTTTTGCGCCAAACAACCAATTTCGTAATTAATGTGGAATTTGCGACAGAACATGAAATTTGCGCGGTATGATTTTTCCATTCCGCTGGAAGCCCTTAAACTGGACGCGCTTATGCATGAGGAGCGCAAATTGCACAGTATGCTTACGAATAGACAATAGTAGAGCGAGACAGTACACCAAATAAATCATCTCATGTTCTCAACATTATAATGATGGTCGAGTTACAATATCGTTAAAAGTTGGCAGGCATTTTAACTTCACATGTTGCCCTTTATGTAAGCGCCTTAAAAGTATTCAGTTTCCGTGCAATTTCTAAAATTCATCCTTCCCGTAAGAATGAACCACCATCTACTACGATAGAAAATATTACCGTACACTGTACAGTATACACTATTCAATAATTACGTCTCAAATATGAGAGATTGAAGTTTGGAGCAGCATATTGGGTCCCCTCCGCAGGAGAGGAGGCCACCGGAGGGAAATTGTTTACAGCAGAGGGAAAGCACAATTTTGATTCAATACTAATTACTCCACCGGAGGGATGTTAATTAACACTCAGGACACTAATTACTCCATCGGAGGGATGTTAATTAAAACTCAAGGCACTAATTACTCCATCCGAATGATGTTAATTGACCCTCATGACACTAATAACTAGATCCAAGGGATGGTAATTAACACTCAGGACGCTTATTTCTCCACCTAATTAACTATCAGGACATTAATTACCCAACCGCAGGGATAGTAATTAACACTCAGGACACTAATGACTACAGCTGCGGGGGATGGTAATTTACACTTGGGACTCTAATTACTTCATCGCTGGGTTAATTAACATCCCTCTGCTCGAGTAAATATTGTCCTGAGTATTAATTACCACGTCCCTCTGATGGATTAATTGGTTTCCGAAGTGGCAATTTCAATCCCTCCAATGCAGTAATGTGTGTACCAAGTGTTAATCATCATCCCTCCGATGGAGTAATTAGTGTCCTGAGTATCAATTACCACCACTCCGATGGATCAATTGGTTTCCGAAGTGGTAATTACCATCCCTCCAAAGGAGTAAATAGTGTACCAAGTGTTAATCACCATCCCTCCGATGGAGAAATTAGTGTCCTGAGTGGTAATTAGGTGGATTAATAAGTGTCCTAAGTGTTAATTACAATCCCTCCAATGGAGTTATTAATGACCTAAGTGTTAATTACCATCCCTCAAATGGAGTAATTAATGTTTTGAGTGTTAATTACCATCCCTCAGATGGAGTAATTAGTGTCCTGAGTGTTAATGAGGTAAAGTAATAAGTGTCCTGAGGGTTAATAACCATCCTCCAGATGGAGTAATTAGTGTCCTGAGTGTTAATGAGGTGAAGTAATAAGTGTCCTGAGGGTTAATAACCATCCCTCAGGTGGAGTAATAAGTGTCCTGAGGGTTAATTACAATCCCTCCGGTGGAGTAATTAGTATTGAATTGTAATTTTGCATTCCCTCTGCTGAAAATAATTTCCCTCCGGTGGCCTTCGCTCCAGTGGAGGGGGCCCACTGTGCTGCTGCAAACTTCAATCTCTCCTAAAATGTTTTATCTATTTTATCATATATAAAATATTAATGAGATCTTAATTCTAAGTAATGTTAAGTTTTTGTTTCAAAAATATTCCTCAGACACATTTACTGGTTCAGGGTTACCCACAAAGGATAAGACTTCAATGACGACCCAAAGTTTATTAAATATGACAATTCTAAGGTTAAATTTGACCCTCATATATGAATAAAGTCTGTACTTCTTTATGAGTTTAAAACAAAATAGAGACATTTTATGCTGCTGCAGGAAACCTTGAATGTAAGTAAAGAGACTGATAAAATTACCCACAGTCGTCGCTGAAGTCTCATTCTTTGTGGGTAAGGGTAAGGGTTTTATTNCCTTGTTCCAATCAAAAGGAATAAAGAAATAATTTTACTCTAAATGCTTTTTACAAGTTACAAGTTACAAGATACAAGAGTTAAAACTCAAGGTTACGAATTTAAAACTCTGATAATTTTTCCTCTCATTTTTATTCTTTCTCCTTATAGACTTATTTGACACAAATTGTGTTTTTGATTCTAATCTTGTATATGAAGTAGTAATCTCTGTTTCTTTGTTTGTGAACCCCTTGACCGATTTGCCTCAAATTTTGAATGGGGAACTCGGTAAAAAATAGAAATGTTCTATACAGTGTGTCCCAAAAAACATGGGAATTCAGTCACGAATTGGATATCGTCTTTGTTATGAATTAGCATTGTAATACCTAATTTCAAAAGCCATAATATTACTATTGTCTGCTAGAGTTTATCTATGAAAAGGGTAAAAGACTGTAAAGATGTGACTGCAGTCTCCGCCAAGATGAACAGTGAAGACGGACAAGTTTACTCTGTTTGTATACTGTAATTTTCTTGTTTTACTAAGTACAACCGTATGCAGCCAAAACATAAACAAACAAAATGTGAACATAGCAGACAAAACTCTTACAGATTACAGCTTTCTCAGTAGGTATCACTATACTAAATCAAAGAATTATTTAAAAAGACGATATCGAATTCTTCACTGAATTCCCATGTTTATTGGGACACCCTTTAGCTTGGTTCAAAAGTTTAAAGTTGAGAAGGCGAACTTTTCTAAAGAAAAAACTTATTTTCCAGACAAAGCTGGGTTCCTGTACTAGACATCTTCTTGTAAAAATGAAAATAAAAGTATGCGATTGTTTATTAAAGGTTACAGGATATTTACAGGATATATAAACACTAGATACATAACAACCAAGTATACAATATACTATTAGTAGTATACAGTCAGTCGCAATAAAATTAAAAATCTTGCAATTTAAAGATCAAGATTGTTTTCATCCTGCACTCTGCAGTCCCAAAATTTTCTTTTGCAAGGATTCAAAAATGCTTTGTTGACATCAATAAAACTAACTGTAATTAAGTCAGCAAGACTTTTAATGAATAAGTTACATGTAGACAAATCCTTATAATGATCTAAGGTTTCTTTGTGAAAACAGCAAACGTTCCGTCACAAGTTTCATCTGTTGTACACTGCTGTCCATCTGTGATGATACTGTTGACAGCTGACAGCAATTCAGATCCTGAATATCAAATACTGTGGTAAGCAGAAAACAGTATGGAATGATTTTTCTTTTCTTTTTTTTTCATTGATTTTGCAATCTTCATCGATTTTAAAAAATAAACCATCAGTTTTTTGAGAAATATTTTTGTTCAAAATTTGAAAATAAGTCAAGCTTTCGTTTTTTGCCTAAAAAATAAATCGAAAAATTACATGAAAGTTCAATAATAGCTCAATAGCTCAAAATAGCTCAAACTATTTGCTGTTGATGATATGCAGTGAGAACCAGAAAACTGTGGAATTATATATTTATATATACAGACTATAATACATATATATCATATATTATCATTATATACATACAGATTATAAAATATGTATATATTACATATATATCTAATGATTAAAACACCGATTATATTTCCATTTTTATTGCTGAACAAATTGTTTTAGCAGCATGAGTTAGATTTAAAAACTTACATTGTTAACCAAAAACAATTAAGCTTACTCCGCTGCAAGGTCGTCTTTGACCAAGATTTTATGCGGTGGCCAAACCAAACATTTTATACCAACGACAGATCAGTAAACACCCTCACGTGCAGCGCTCACGCTTCAAATTTAGTTAAAAGCCTGAAATCTTTGCAACCAATAGTCATCTTACTGTGAGACCCCCCCTCTTTCAGCTCAACATACATTTATAATTATATATTTTCATATTCCAGAATTTTCTGGTTCTCACTGTGGCTTACTTGTCGTCTTCATATTTTTACTGGTACCCCACTCTCGACTAAGTTTTCGGTGTGTACAGCAGTGATTTTTAGTACTCTGACCGAAGAAATAGTGGAGTTCAGTGGAGAGTGACCCTGTAAATATTTACCTGTTTTTGAAGGAGGAACCGGTTCTTTGCCTTTGGTGTACACTTCGTTACTCAACACTGAGTATCAAGGGTTATTTTATCAATTGCTATGCATGGATTCAGGAAGCGAGCCCGGGGGACTGGTTGCTACATAAGATCAGAACTTTTGAATTGATATTCATGTTAATCTTGAACTAGCTTAATCTCGATATCCAATATTCACTTAAAAATTGAGGATCAATGCTTGATCACTGCAATACAGTTATCCCTGCAGGGTATAACCATCACGGGCTAACGAATATTCAGTTCAACTAGCTTACATTGCCGGTCTGTCCCTTTAAGGCTTAATTTAATAGTTCTAGCTGGAAATGATACAAAGATGAATTGAATGGAAAAACCTGCTATCTATTCTATAAATTGTATATTTCTAGCTGGAACCCATACAAGGATGAATTGAATGGAAAAACCTGCTATCTATTCTATAAATTGTATATTTCTATCTGGAAACCATACAAGGATGAATTGAATGGAAACACCTGCTATCTATTCTATAAATTGTATATTTCTACCTGGAAACCATACAAGGATGAATTGAATGGAAACACCCGCTATCTATTCTATAAATTGTATATTCTAGCTGGAAACGATACAAGGATGAATTAAATGGAAACACCCGATATCTATTTTAGAATTTACAGAATTTTGTAAATTGTATATATCCAATTCAATGAATAAATTATTGTCTTCCACGCAGGGGCGTATTAAATTTGATAAAAGAAGGGGGGGGGGGCAGAAAAATGCATATTCAATTCAGAAAAAAATAATCTTAATAATTTTAAAATAATTTTATATTTTTTTTAAATTTCAGTTAACCTTCTTTCTAGAGAATATTTTTTTTATTTTTGATGAATATTTAGTTCTTTGACAAAATTTATTTTTAAAACTAAAAATTATAGACGTTGAAAAAGTTACTAAATTGATAAAATGAATTCCTATTGTTAACTCGACACCATTTCCTCCCTCTACCTCCACACTAGCTTCTCCTAAACAATTAAATATTATTTAATTAAAGAGATTGTTCAGATCTTTCACTCTGGTGCTAATGGTACCAATTATTGTTTAACGACTAAAGCGTAATTTCAAGTCGATTCACAACGGTACCCTTGAAAACTTTATCTGATCAATAATGTGAAAGAAATGTTCGTTTTTCAATGTTTTAAAGTGATTATTAGTTCTAATATTTCCTCTATGTTTTCCTGCACTAGAAATGCGCAAGTCAATTGAAAATTATCAGTTTTCCAAATTATAAACCAATTGCTATCTATTTCATATTTGATCAGAAAAGGCTTTAAAGGGCGGCATAAATCGGAAATTGCCATCTTTGCATGGAGGGTCCCTTGAAATTATGCTTACAGTCCCTTGTTATTGTGAAGACTAACATAACAACTAAAAGGATTTAATATGAAGTTTCGAAGATTTAGATATTTTCAAGCGACCTAAACCAGTCTGAAACCTCTTTCAATCCCACAAACATGATTATTACAATTTGTCGAAAAAGGTGGTTTACACAATTCCTTTTTTTTCACAGGGACTGTAAGCGTGATTTCAAAGATTGTAATGCCTGATTCAGAACGTTACCCTGAAAAGATTTGACTGATCAATGATGAATTATATATCAAGGCTTATAATTTTGAAAACTGATCATTTTGTGTGTGTTTAAATAATGTTACTTGCGCGTTTCTACTCTTGGAAAACATAAAAATTATCAGAATTAAACACTCTTAAACCTGAACACCGATAATGTCTTCCACATTGTTCAGATAAAGGTTTTGAGGATACCGCTGTGAATCGGCAATGTCTTCTTTGCATGTAGAAGTGTAGTAAACATCTACTCCATAACAAGTTCTCGAAACGTATTTATCCAAGTACAACCCGTCCGCTATCAAAGTCAACCAGGACACGATCCACACGGTTACAATCCCGCGAACTATCAATGCCAGTACCACTGCACGCGATATCTATTAATCCAGGCTCTAAATGCCACACAGGGCCACAAGCCTAGCCATCAAACAAGCTATATATCGATCCCAAATGATAGGGACGATCCGCTCTAAACGTCACACAGGGACACAAGCCTATAGCTATCAAACAAGCTATATATTGATCCCAAATGATGGGGACGACCTGTTTTATCAAAACAGGATTTCAGGATTAATTTCTTACAGTAAACAGTACGGAGTTACTCTATAAACTAACTTCAACAAGATATTTTATTTTAAAAGTTTAGGTGAATTGATGTAATTACAATTCCTACGTCGTTATCTATATCTAGGGTTGTTAATCGTTTTTGAAAACGATCGCTAAACGATCGTTAAACGATCGTTTTTGTTTCTTTTTCAAAAACGATCGTTTCGTTTTCGGAAAAAAACGATCGTTTTTAAAAACGACCCACTCGTTTTGAACTTTTAGAAAACGAATAGCGATCGTTTTTGTAAACGATCGTTTTTATTAAAACGATTTGCGACCGTTTTTTATACGATTGTTTTTAAAAAAACGTATTGACAATTATGTTAACGATCGTTAACGAAGGGTCGTCGTTAACGATCGTTAACGAAGGGTCGTCGTTAACGATCGTTAACGAAAGGTCGTCGTTAACGATCGTTAACGAAGGGTTGTCGTTAACGATCGTTAACGAAACGACGAACTTTATCAAAACGGTCGTTTTTGGAAAAAAATTACATGCAACTTTATTAAATGTCGTCTTACATGAAGTTTAACAGTTGTGGGGGAGTTAAACTCCTTGATTTTTACTTAAAAACTACTCAATGATAAGTACAGATGCCCTTCAGGTCGGTTTCCTCTCTTCGTTAACGATCGTTAACGAAGGGGTCGTCGGTAACGATCGTTAACGAAGGGTCGTCGTTAACGATCGTTAACGAAACGACGAATTTTATAAAAACGATCATTTTGAAAAACGATTTGTTTTTAAAAACGAGCGTTTTGAAAAACGATCGTTTTAAAAACGACAATTTTTAAAAAACGAACTTTTTAAAAAAACGATCGTTTTTAAAAACGATCGTTTCGTTTTCGATTTTTCGTCGTCGTTTTCATAACGAAACGATCGTTTTTCTGAAAAATGAAAACGTTAACATCCCTATCTATATCACATGACAAACATGTTACATATTTACGCACAGTTAAAGTTTAATGTATGTATTTATAAGATTAGCAAGGATGGATATAACGTAGTAAGCTATCTCCGCACATGTTTACAGCGTAATTTAGGTTAAATGTACGTATTTAAAGGATTACCACGGATAGATATAATCGCAGTTTAACTACCTGTAGTTTCGTCGAAGCACTCGAGTCCGTTTCCTTTCCATCCAGTTTTACATTTGCATGAGGAGATCTCTAAATTTGCGCCAAATTTCCGGTCAAAAGTACACTCAGCCTTACAATTAATAAATATTTGAACATTTTCCAAGAAAAATATTTTTATTAAACATTCCAAATTTGATTATTTTAAACTTGTAAATTACTTTAAAAACTTCATATTTAACTTTAATTAAAAAACTAAGGGATGTATTTATTCTTTAAAAAAAAGACAGTGCTAAACTATATGAACGGGCCAAATAATCAAGAAAAAATGAGAACCGACAGGTGTGCGAATGGAAAAAAGACAAACTTATTATAAGCTAATGAACTATGCCTCATACCATTTTATTTTATTTAAAAATAAATTGTTAAAAGTGAGTCTTTAACTATAACGTTATTTTGTGATTTTAGAGATTTATGCTTTGGTTTCATTTGTTAACCCCATTCATACGGTTGGGGGGGNNCCCCCCCCCCCCCACTAAAAATATCAATACAGAGAGAATGAAAATGTTTAAGCAAAAGCCTAATCAACTACATTTTACAACTGACCTGGGGGTTCCAGCATCTGTTTCCATGTATAGAGTCTAAATTAATGTTTTAATATTTTTATGTTTTTATGTTTTTATGTTTTAATATTCTAATGTTCAAATGTTTAAATGTTTTTTAATGCTTTATTGCTGTATTAGCTCAGTGTTTAAATGCTTCAATGTTTTAATGTTTTAATGTTTTAATGTTTTAATGTTTTAATGTTCAAATGTTTAAATGTTTTTTTAATGTTTTATTGCTTTATTAGCTCAATGTTTTAATGCTTCAATGTTTTTATGTTTTTATATTTTATTGTTTTAATTTTTCAATATTTTATGGTTTTCAGGTTTTAATGTTTTAATGTGTTTAAGTTTTAATATTTTAATGTTTTAATATTTTAAATTTTTATGTTTTAATACTTTAATGTTTTAACGTTTGAATTTTTTAATGTTTTTTGGTTCAAATGTTTTAATGATTTAATGTTTTAATATTTTAATATTTTAATATTTTAATATTTTGATATTTCAATATTTTAATATTTTAATATTTTATATTTGTAAGTATTAATGTTTTAACATTTTAATGTTCAATGTTTAAATTTTTCAATGTTTTAAGGTTTTAAGGTTTTAATGTTTTAAGGTTTTAATGTTTTAATGTTTTAATGTTTTAATTTTTTAATTAGAATAATTAGTAAACCCATTTTTTAAACTTAATAGATTTTTTGTTACTTCTGTTTTGGGCTGCAGAGGGTAGGGTACACTCTACGCAGCATATAGAAAGATAGTTTAGAATAGCCCTTACTTTTAATCAATTAAAAACTTTTGTTTTAATAAATTTTTAAATGTCACCTTGTCCGTAATCTTCATTTCTGCATTGTCCTCCTCCTTCAGGGGTAAAAATTGAAATATTGTAGAGTATGAAATCCCCAAAAGAAAATTATAAAAAATCTGTAAGTTGGAATCAGAGAAGTCCTACTCATCTTTCTATCCTTCAATACACTCGTTATTCATAATGTATTTACATCTAGAAGCAATAATTATAGTTTTAAGGTATAAAATTTTGGATGGATTATCTTGAATTTTCAGGATTTTACTGCAGAACTGGAAACTTTTGAAAGATAAGATTACCTTATTCTCTCATTTGGTCAAAACTTTTGAGAGAAAACATGGGAAATCAAAGAAATTCTAAATCGTATGGGCACGGGCAATACCGGATACCTTTGCTGGTATCTTAATTTTAAAAAATCATTCATTAATTTTAGAACTGTGCTTGTCAGATTTCTCAAATTTTGATTTTGTCAAATATGAAAAACTGTGGCGGACCCGAACAACGAATCAGTTCTCGAGTGCTTCCTAACTTAAAGGGACTAAACCTTAATTTCAAGTGAGCCACCATGCAAAGATGACAATGTCCGATTCACAACGTTGAAGATATTTTTGTTCATTAGGTTTAAAAGTGTTTAGTTTTGATAATTCCCATATGTTTTCATGGACTACAAATGCGGGAACCACCACAATTGAAAAGAATCTGTTTTTAAATTATAGACAATATAATACCTTATATATCTATCTTATATTATCTACTCTGTAATAGATACCTAATTAACATTTGATCAAACAATGCTTTTGGTGGTACCGTTGTGAATCAAGACATCTTTAAATGAAGGGTCGCTTGAAATAACGCATACAGTCCCTTTAATCAAGATCTTATTTAACCCTAATGTAATGTCAGCGGATGTGGACTTTGCCAACAATTCCTCTTTATCAATATATTTCCTCTTAAAGGGCTTGTAAACGTAATTTGAAGTAAACCTCCATTTAAAGAGTCAGAATCACAACCTTAACCCCTTAATTTTGTTTACTATATGAATGATGATGTCGTTTCTTGCTGGCTGAAATTTTTTGATTCTGATAATTTTCCCCATATTGTTTTTGAAGCAAGAAATGTGTATATCACTTTTTCAAAATTGTCTTACATATGTCACTTTTACAGAGCAACCGCTAATAAAAAAACCAGTTTTCAACAAAAATCGGGGATTCAAAATGCATTTTCAATCTAAGGTACCGTTGTTAATCACAAATGCCACTCTATCAAAGGAGGGTCACTTTAGATTACAGTTACATTGCCTTTAAACCGTAAATATTTTGATTTTATACACTGCTCTCTTAGACATTTGTATGAAACATCATCAGCACGCTCAAACATAAAGAATAATCATTTGAAAAAGAATATTTTCTTCTAAAATATCATTTATCTAAGAGGAATAAAGGTCTGTGAAAGCATAAATGTATTCAAGATAAAATATTGTTGAATTCAGAAACATTTCTCTGACAGGTTCTCTGGTAGTTTTTTCAAGGACATTTCCCAGAGAATTCACATTGCATTTCCCAAGGGCATTTCTAAAGGGCATTTCCAAGGGCATGAACCAAGAATATTTCTCAAGAGTATTTCTCAAGAGTATTTCCCAAGGGCATTTCCCAATGGCATTTCCAAGAGCAAATTCCAAGGGAATTTCCCAAGGGCATTTCCCAAGGGCATTTCCCAAGGGAATTTCTCAAGGGCATGCACCAAGAATTTTTCTCAAGGGTATTTCCCAATGACATTTACCAAGACTGCTTTCCAAAGACATTTCCTTTGGGCATTTTCCGAAGGCATTTCCCTAGAGCATTTCCCAAGACCATTTTCCAATGGCATTTCGGAAAACATTATCTAAGGGTATTTTCCAAGGTGAAGCAATTCAAATTATTTTTATCTAATTCCCTTTTTCTTTCTTCTAAACTAAAATGACTTCTCATTATTTGAATATTTTTACCGTAAAAGTAATATCTATGTAAGCATCTAAATTTTTTATCTTCATTAATTATTCTAATTTTTTTCCTGGTGCACACCAAGCACAGTCAGTTCTGCTCTGGTTACCAATACAGGGATGCCCTATACACACTTATTGATTATGTGAGAGTATTGACAGCAATACAGTGATGACCTATACACACTTATTGATTATGTGAGAATATTGACAGCAATACAGTGATAACCAGAAAGTTGTGGAATAGGAAGACGATATTGCAGCAATACTAAAGTTCATTTGATGTTGTAACAAAGCAAGCAGTTTTCTGGTACTCACTGTATAGCTTTTCAATGTTTTTTCCCTTGTTCAAAATAAAATTGAAAAATATTAAGGATTTGTCCGTTTTTTTAAGGCTGGATTTTACAAAGTACTTATATTGCAGTATAAACTATTTACTTTAAAGTACAGAGTGTCCCACGAAACATGACAGTTGGTGAATAGTCTTTAATGTCTTTTAAAGACTTTTTGCAGTTTATTTAGTTTATAAAAACTTTAATCAAATATATTTTACTTAGAAATCAATTTTACTAAAATATGGATGCCATAAAATATTTAATATTATTTTCTTTGGTAACAAACAACTTGACATATTATGGAAGAAGACATTTTAAACTACTAACCAACTGTCATGTTTCGTGGGACATCCTGTACATCCTGTCTGTATTTGAGTATTTTCATATACTTGTATTTTAATGTTAAAAATACACAGCGCAACAAAAATGTATAAAGTAATCGCAAAATGAGTGGTAAAGTTGAGGCTCACTGACTTAAAACCAGGACCTCTAATTTACCGTCATTATTGTGAATTAGTATAAATTGAAAAAAAAGAAGAGAGAAAAAAAACTTAAAATACTATCTTATCCTTAGAACTGATTTTTGTAATCATATCTTTGACAAAAAAATCTATATTAATATCGATTGTATTAGTCTGTTTGTTTGTTTGTATTCAATAAACGTAAAAACAGCTGTAGTCACGCACCTCTGACCCTTTATTAAAAGTAAATTTAACATAGTGTGACCACGTCAACCTTGTTGCAACAGCTAGTCCCATTGAGTTTCTTCATTATTTATTAAATGTCCGGGCCGGGTGATACAGTACTAACTGGGACCGGAAAGGTTGACCTGGCTAGGATATTCAAATGTACTACAGCTGACCGTAAAGTACACGTCGAACTAAAGTAAATTGCACTAGAGGAGCTACGAGGTCACAAAGTCGTATCTGTAATGTTGCATATATTTTTCCTTCTTCTTCTGTAGCAAGGAGAGGCAGAAACTTACATTCCCCCAAGAAAATTTTTATGACTGGTCCGAAATGAAAACTAAGGAACGCCAATTCTTAAAGCTAAAACCATTACTGAACAGATACGGGATTATTTCTCATAAAAAAACTGATAATCACTATGTATTTAATGCACATCATTTTTTTCTTTCAAAGCAACCTAAAAGCTTTCATCTGAAAAGTGTTTACTCCAAAAGAAGATTCTTACTGCGTAATATAATAGTGTTTAACACTGGTTATCTGCAAGAAATTTAAAACGAATTTTCTATAAAAAAAGAAGAAAATCATTACAGTACAAAACCCCCGTGAATACCTGAGAAAATTGATTGTTTTATCTTCAATAGAATTCTTCAATGCACAGTTCTACGAAGCTAATATCGTTTTTTCAAAATTTAAGGTAACAAAAGGAACCAAGCACTAGCCAAAAAACTGATAGGGGTGTATATTTTTAAGAATTACTTCCCCCAGGGGATTTTTTGACGATCTTTGGGGAAAAATGAAAAATTAAACATAAAAATGCAAGTTTTTTTCTGCCAATAAAACCTCAAAAAAATGGTATGTGCAAACATAACTATAACATACACCTAATTTCCTTGTTTAACAACTCGATCACACTATAATCATTTTAGAAAGTGTGTAAACATTATGATCATTACGTAGTACTGTACACTAACCTGTAGTAGAGACTGTGCAGTGTGCACTGGCTCGCTGGTAGTACTGTACACTAACCTGTAGTAGAGAGTGTGTACTGGCTTGCTGGTACCCCTGGACATCCACGTTGCCTTCCCTCCCATTTCTAAACAAAAGAAACTTGACATTTCTCATTAACCTCCAACATGTTGCCCTCATAACTCCATCATCAAGTCTTTCGTTTAATCGTTTAGGCATTAATTTGTTTTTAAATCAGTGTTTAGGACTTTTATTATCTACTTAGAAAATAACCTTATAGCAATAGTTCTGCATAGGAGCCCCACACTGTACAGCATCATCATTACAGCAGGCGCAGTCGGTCCGGGTCATATCAAACCAGCAGGGACAACCTAGACAGGAAGGGATGGGGTGCAGAGTTGCAATGAGCCATGCAGAATCACCTTTAAGCCTCCTAATAAGCAGAAACGTATCCAAGCCCTGCCACCAAGTCTGTGCCATTCTGTGTCCGTACATGCCCCGCATTTTGATCTCCACTTGATGTATTATTTTGCATTAACCTTTTATGGTTTAACCGACAAAAAATTAAAATATATCTCTCCATAGTAGAATCCCCAATAGTTTAAAGAACCATTTAATCCACAAATTTCAAATATATATATATTCATTTAAATGAACATAACTTGTTTACATCTCACACCATTAAATAAGACTGAAATGTGAAATTAAGAACACAAAAATAAAACTCTTAATCTGAATGTAAAACACGCTTTAATATATAGATTGTTTATGTATTATTAAAAACTATTTATTATGTTGAGATTGTTTAAAAAAGTCTTTAGGTGGATTTAAAAGCGAAATATTTTTATTGGAGACCAGAATGGCGGAGGCTTGGAGACATAGCCGAGGCAGACAGACGCGCGAGGTCATTCTTTGTGTATGAGGCTCTGAAGGTCAATAGGCGGGGCTCATGGCAGCCCTGCACACCCTCCTTCAGACAGAGATAAGATAAAAATTATACCTCTTATGGTTTGGATTTTTCTCCACGGAGGTTAAAAAAATGAAAAAAGGTCAAAAATGTCTTTTTTACATTAGCCTTTCAGAGGATTTTGTATGATTAAATACATCATATAGAAAGGAAACGAAGAGGTAAAAAGCCTCAGATGTACACAACAGACCACCCTATTAACAGCTCAATTTGTTTACATATCTAACACTGTACACTTATATATATAGGAATCATAAATCTTGAGGGTGGTTAAATGTAGATAATTGAATATTTGTATATGGATAGTTAGATAGACACTTAAAATGGATTGTAAACACAGCGTTGTATACTGAATTACATTCCAGTTTAGTTCAGACAAAATGACAAAATATTGCTTCGCGAAAAAATACACGAACAATTCGTCTTGTAAAAATGTGAGTTTTAAAAAATTCCAAAACACTTTTAAGGTTGGGAGACTCCACCATATATCCCTCAAGTTATATTTGCACTATTCCATAAAATCCCCCCCTAGAAATACGATCACTCTATATACAGGTGTACAGTGTTATCTACAAAGAGAATAGAATATATATTAGAGTGGAATTTAGAAAATCTCTCGGTTTGAATTATGTCAGTCCCTTTCAGCCTGAAAGGGAGTTCAAAGTGTACAAATCATGTAAATGTTCACAAATTATATACAGTAGAGTACATTAATACAGTATGTTCCCTAGACTACACATTTCAATTTCGAATATTTTAAAGCTTTTCAATAAACTTTATAAAATCAATTGATTTATAGTTATAACGGAAAATCATCGTTTGTAAAGTGAAAGGCATATAGTCTATGTGAAATGATCATTGGTCAATAATGAAACCAGGCTATTTCATAATTTTGTTATCTTTTAATATTAATTTTAGATTTTCTATAAAATGATGTTTCAGAGCCCAAAAGGTTATATAGCGCAAATATGTTAACTACACCTGCAGTATGGAAACAGTTCAACAAAATGGCCGTTTTACACTTTTTTCTAGTAAATTCCACTCTAATATATATTCTATTCTCTTTGGTTATCTATGTAAACATATTGTGATGTACACAAGCGACCACCCTATTAACTAATACATGGGGTGGTTGGTTGTGTACATCCGAGGTAAGCTTTACTCAAGGTTGTAATGCAAGGAAAGTAAATTGCAGTTGCGTATATTGTGCGTACATATGGAAACCAGTTCTCTCTGGGCGGAATTTGTAAACAAGAATAGATGCATCAGTGTTCGTTTAGTATCCAAGCAGGATAAAGCATTTGATTTTGATAATTTTGATGATTCACATAATAGTTTCCTATGACCAGAATATTTCATTGATTTTGATGTAAAAGATGGATCCCATATCAGGGTTCGACATCCGTCTTGTGTTTACATTACCGAACAGAGAGAGTATACACTGCAGTACAAAAGAATGCGTACACCTCTGAAATAACTTTCCTTTCATTACAACATTGGCTTTACCCTTCGTTTCCTTTCTCTTTGTAAAACATTGAAACAATTGTTATTTCTAAATTGTTTTATCAATCATTGATTTTTATTAACCTGTGCTAGCTGAGGTGTATTGACCAAAGAGCTGAGTTTTACCCTCTTCAGTCTCTAAACTTTTTAGAACATCACAGGCTGCCTTCTCCTGCACCAATGAAAATGATATGTTTCAGAGATGAAATATTTTACTAAAATTGTTTTTTTTTGGCCTATCTAAGAAGTTAATTACTCGCCTCAAACTCTAATTTCCAATCCTAAAATCTTTGCAACTTGAAGGTTTAAACTGACATAGATCCAGAAAAAGTTAAATTTTTTTCAAGACTTTGAAGTGTCGCAACCTTTGGATCACCGTGAACCTTTGACTTATTGATCATGACAAAATTTATAGATTGAAATATAAAAAAGACATCAGGTTGCAAAGATAAAAAGATTGGAGAATTGATGAGTGATTTTTTTAATATGAACTAAATTCTAGAGGAGAACGTTGTTGATTGAATTTGAAATGTTTTAAATTTTTTTGTCTTGTTCTCTTTTCTCTCTCTTTTTTTTCCGATTAAAAAAACTAGAACTTGAAAATTCTGGTTTAAATAGTTCATGAGGTGCAAGAGTAAAATACGAAGTGTCTATAGAAAAATCCCTGAAGCTGGTTCATGTAAGACCCTCAATCAAATATTTTTGGATCAAAAAATGTTTATAAAAGGTTTTCTGATTGCACCATAGATCAGTAATAATTTTGTACTCTGATGTAAACTTTAAAATTTAAACGCGAATAAAAGAAATTAAATCTTTGCACTAACTTACATTTTCCAATCCTTATATCTTTGAAATCTAATGGTGTAAACGTTTGATATTTCAAACTTACATTTTTTGATGCAACATAATTCTAGGTTATTCACTTTACAACATGGGTAGAGTAGAGTTTGTGGCAAAAACTCGCTTCCTTCGCTAAAATCAGGCCCAAAAAAAGATAAATGGAACTGAGTTTTTTAATCCTTATATTTGTTTAACTTTATGTCAAAGATCTTTGTTATTTCATATGAATCCTATTGGATTAATATAGTCTAAGTTTGAAATATCAAAGGTTTACACCAACAGGTTGCGAAGATAGGAATAAGAATATTGGAGTTTGTTGCCAGGACTCACTAACTTTGTTCAAAAATAAGGTTCTGGTATAAACTACGTTTTTTCAAAGACACACTTTTAATAAAGCGTTTTACCACCTCGGTTTTACCTAGGAATCAGACAGAATAATGGATTACCAAAAACGTTAATAATTTCCATTAAGGTTATAATAATGAAACCTTAATTTTAGTCTCTATATATAATTCTTGGAATTTGGAAGTTTAACAAATCTTTATGCACATAACCCCCTTATCCCCCCTCTCTCTTATATATCTATATAAATATATATTTTGCTTGTCTGTTTGTATGTCTGTTAAAATCCAAAAACCGTCAAAAGGACTAAACCGATTTGGCCCACATTTTCTGTAGTAATAGATATAACCCAAGGGAAGGTTTATGGCTTAATTGTCGAAGTGGAAAAAGTGGAAAAATGTTTCTTTTATATTTATTTTATGGGTTGAAATAAGATCATAAGAGGGGGGGGGATTATGTTAAGTCATCTCATAAAACTATTTTCTTTGTAACAACATCAAATACACTTATTATTGATTCAATGTCGTCTTCCTATTCCTCAGTTTTCTGGTTCTCACTGTATGTTTCACAAGAAGGAGCAAAAAAACTAATTTTTGATTAAACTTTTCAAAATTTATCATTAGTTTTTTTATCGATAAATAGAACAAATAAAAAGATAAAAAGTTTTTCTGTTTTTAAATTAGAAAATAAACAATTTCTCCTAGGCTGAACTGCTGAGCTATTATTTCGATTTCTTTTCATTATCTCTTTCAGAAGCAAGAACAAAGTTAAAGAAAATGAAAGAAAGAAAGAAAATTCATTTGAATGTTTTTAATTAGGATTTTTCATCTTAATTATTTTGATTAAAATCAATTGACAGGGTTCTCAGTACAACAAAGGTAGGGGGCCTTTTCTTAATTATTTAGTATTTGTTTTTTAATGATATCTTCGAAGGACGTCAAAATAAAAATAAAAACTTTTTTTTTTCTTTGAACTTAAAAGACTGAAACATAAATATAGTATAAGAGAACTGATCTTTAGCCACATTCATTATCTTTCTACCCTTATATCTATACAATCTTATGTCTAAGACCTTTTATATTTTAGAGTCCTTTTATTTTCTCACCTTTTTAACTCCAAATAACTATACTTTAAATATTTTAGACGTCTAAAAAATCTAGTAAATCCCAACTTTAAGCTAGGCTTAAGCGCCATTTCTATCGACCAATAGTTGACTAAAATTTGACGTACAATTCTTCTTTATCCAATAGAACCATGAAACCATTTCTATCGACCAATAACATAACAAAATTTGATGTAAAATCCTTTTTTATCCAATGAAAAATGTATAGCGAGGCTAGATGTTATTTTTGTATAGTATTATATATATATGTGTTGACGGAAAACAGCAACACGCTAGACAAATCAGGATAATAGGCCGGTTAGGATTCTGGTGGGGGATGTTTATTATCCCCAGACAATTCTTTCCCGATAGGCCGCACAAATACACACACAACAGAGTAACCCCGTCTCAGAAATTCGATAACAAAATCTTTATTTCCTAAAAAATAACATAAATTATAGGTCATGTTTAATTGTACAATGTTATAATGAATGTTAATAGTAGAAAAAATCTTACGAATTATTTAAGGATGGTCGGGGGTGACTTATTGTTGATCAGTATTGAAATACGTTTTTTTAACTTCTGAAAAATTACAGTTGAATATTTAACGAAATTCACTTATGCTTCTTATGAAAATATTTTGCTTAACTTTAATGATTTCACAACAACGAAAATATTTTAAGCTCCGTCGGAGGAGGACAAAGGGAATTGCGGGCTGAAAATTTGGTTTGGCTGTCTCCGACAGGAGATTCAAGTTGAAGACGACATTTTATAGAGGTTTTAAATTAATGGTTAACAATATGTTATGCGCAAAACTTTGTGATTTAGTATAAATACCATGTATGAATAATGTATTACTACTATACTCTAAGTTATTGTGAATAAATCATCTGACAGATAACAAGTAAGTTATTTTACTTTTGTCTTTGTTTCTGATTATTTGAGTGTTGAATAAAAGAATGTGAAGTTATTGAAAATCAAAAATTTAAAAACTATTCCAAGAGATATTAACTTAAAACAATTTAACTTAGTTAAATTCCGTGGATTTAACTACGTAGCTAATCTTGAATAGTTTGAGTATATATTTATAAAAGGATAAAATACTTTGAGATTTTAACTTAAAAATTCAGATTTAAATCACTCTAAAATTCAGAAATTATTTGATTATAAAATTATATTTAAAGTGTCTTCGACACAGTTTCAGAATCTGCTACTTTCCTACTTTAAGCTAAAATAATCTTTTCTGCCATTTTTTGATCTGGCTTTGATGTTTTTTTTTAAGACTAAAAATAAAATAAATCAAAGAAACAGTTACCTTTTTCCCACATTTGGCCCAATTGTTCTTATTAAGCACATTGTGAGTTTTGGGACATGATCCAAGCTGACAATACGACATCTGTCTCCCCATCAGGGTCCAGTCCCCTCCAGATAGACAAGGACATAGTTCCGTATCCACAGGTTGTGTTCCTTCTAGTTCCTTACATGCTACTTCTATATCTCCATGACAATATTTAGCATTTCCATCATTGTCTTCACACCAGGGGGCCCTGCAGTAGTAGTGTTTAAAGGGACTGTACACCAGGGGGCCCTGCAGTAGTAGTGTTTAAAGGGACTGTACACCAGGGGGCCCTGCAGTAGTGGTGCTTAAAGGGACTGTACACCAGGGGGCCCTACAGTAGGGGTGTTTAAAGGGACTGTATACCAGGGGGTCCTGCAGTAGTGGCGTTTAAAGGGAATGTACACCAGGGGGCCCTGCAGTAGTGGTGTTTAAAGGGACTGTACACCAGGGGGCCCTGGATTAGTGGTTTTTAAAGGAACTGTACACCAGGGGGCCCTGCAGTTGTAGTGTTTAAAGGGACTGTACACCAGGGGGCCCTGCAGAAGTGGTGTTTAAAGGGACTGATTGATTTTAAGTAATCATCCATGGAACGGTACCTTTGAAACCTTTATTTGATCAATAATGTGGAAACAATTGCAGTTTTGCTAGGTTTAAAGTTTTAAATTTGAAAATTCCTGTTTTCCTGCAGGGTGTCTCAAAAAAAGTGAAACTGTGGGAAAAAAACTAGATTTTGTCATTGTCTGGGTCTATGCAAAATTTTAGTTCCTGCTTTATTTATCTTGACACTTACATCTTGTGCTGTTTTCGTGCATTTTTGGGAAAAATAATTTCATGCATTTCACTCTTTTGAACTTCATTTTTGAGTGAATTTTAGAGAATGAAAAATATGTAAGTTTTGTATCCTAATGGTTTAGGTCAATTTTGAATTGCACAGGGTGTCTCAAAAAAAAGAGTAGAAAGCTGTTGAAAAACAGGAACATTATCTGACAACAAGAAATAAATTGTCTGAAGATAATTCAAGAAAACGTTATTCTTACTAAAGTAAAGGTAAAAGAGTTTATAAATTAGAGTATAAAAAAGTTGAAAATTTCATTCAATTTGATAACAGAATTTTAATTTTAAACCTTGAGATAAAGGTGTAAAATGTCCACTGTTTTATATATTTCTCTACCCTCACATGATGGAGGGGGGGGGGGGGTGTTATCCCTTCTCCATGTGGTTTTTTTTAAATAACTTTTAAAAGGCCGACATCAGAAATGTTTTTAATTAATTAAACTACATGGCTAAAACTTATATATTTAAAAATCCCTTAAAAATGGATATAATAGCATGTGTCACTTGTCAAAATTAAGAATATGTATTTTTAAACATTTTTCCGACGTACTTTTTGAACTTTTTTAAAATCCTCCCTTGCACCCTAACCATTAAAGATAAATGTATCACACTCCCCTATTTCAATTCTAAGAGAAAACTCACGAGGGAGGGGGTGAAAGCGTTACCCCCAAATCTATTTTAGGCAAAAATAGGGATAGGGTTAACGATAGCAAATTTTACAATTAGAGATTGTATTAAGCATAATTTTATGTGACCCTGCATATAAAAATTACAATTCTCGATTAAAAACCCTTTAAAGCTTTGTCTGATCAAGTATGTGAACTAGATATATCAACGCTTAAATATATAATTCCAATCTTTTGTAGAATTTGCTAGTTTTAATTCTTTCCTATAGCACCCCTTTCTTGTTGAAGGGGGGGGGGGAATAAATCCGTAACCCTGTTAGAATGAAGGTAATCTCAAAGAAGAAAATAATGGCAGTTTCTTTAAAGTTAAATTAGATTACAAGCAGTTAAAACTAAATCCCATATCAACATAAATTGCACTTTAGAGTGCTTTAGAGTGGATAAATTGCATTCACATTTTTAGATCTTCACATAATATTTTTGAAGTCCCTTAGTTAAAAGCGTCACATGACGATTCATAGAGGTGCCCTTTTTCATCAATGATTGGAAAATATCGTCGGATTTCTTCCTTAAAAAGTTGCTATTTTGACTCTACTGGACAAATTAGCATGTCACTTTAATAGAGAACCGCAACAAGGGGATTTAACGGTTTGGGCCTTATCCAAGAGAGCTGTGCCTTTCGATCACAATTTGACATGTTGAGAACAATTTTTTCGTCTTTTCTTTTTTATACTTTTTGTTGGCATATGCGTGTTAAACAAAAAATTATGAAATGATAACTACTTAAAGAGACTGTAAAGGAAAAATGAAAGGGGGTAAAGGCTGAAAGCTATTCACTTTAGCTCTTGATCGCAACCCATGAAAGTTATATTTGATGACCAATGAGAGTGCAGTATACTGGTCATGTGTCTCTGTCTGTATCACGTAACCAGTATACTGCACTACCATTGGTGGGAGTTCTGATGACGTCATACATACTTATAAATAATATTATCAATTATATCTATTAGAAATAAAAATAAAAATCATAAATAAAAGTTGGAGAAAACCTAAGTTACAATTAGGCAAAGAGAATAGAATATATATTAGAGGGGAATTTAGAGAATCTCTCGGTATAAATATTTTCAGTCCCTTTCAGCCTGAAAGGGAGTTCAAAGTGTACAATGTTCACAAATTATATGCAGTAGAGTACAATAATACAGTATGTTCCCTAGACTATCCATTTCAATTTTGAATTTTTTAAAGCTGTTAAATAAACTTTATAATGAATTATGTGAATAAAAAACATCACTTGATTTAAAGTTATAACGGAAAATCATCGTTTGTAAAGTAAAAGGCATAGAGTCTATGTGAAATGATCATTGGTCAATTATGAAACCAGCCTATTTCATAATTTGGTTTTCTTTTAATATTAATTTTAGATTTTCTATAGAATGATATTCCAGGGCCCAAAAGTTTATATAGAATAAATATGTGAAGTACACCTGCAGTATGGAAACAGTACAACAAAATGGCCGTTTTACACTTTTTTCTAGTAAATTCCCCTCAAATATATATATTTTATTCTCTTTGCAATTAGGTTTCTTTGGGATATCTGCGTTTTCAGATTGGTTGCGTATTTGCTGAATACCTAACCTACCATTTCTATACTAAATTATATATGTGAATTTTCGTATAAATTTGACACTGTTTTTTTTATCAATTTCTCGAGACAGGAACATCAGATATAACTTTCATGGGTCGCAAACAAGAGCAAAAGTAAATATCTTTCAGCTTATACCCCCTTTCACTTTTCCTTTACAGTCCCTTTAAGCCTAATGATTTTTGAATTATGGACCAACACATGATTGAATATAAATAGGAGAAACCAAATGCATCTCGCCCTGGTTAGTCTGGGGTGGCAATTAAAACTGAACAAATAAGGTAAACATCATATTTGCAAAGACAAATATTTAAATTGTACTGCTGTGATTTGGGCATACAACTTTTCTCAAGTGTGGGGTCACTTGAAATTACTTCAGACTATTTTAAGACGTTACACCATACGAATCATCCCCTCCCAGTGGGATTATTAATAATGTGGAGCATGTAGCGTAAAGCTATACCTGTTACTATTGGTCGGATTTGAACAGTAGCTCTGCGGTATCCCCTTGTAGGACCACTGTCCTCCATCAAGACAGGGGCAGGTAGGTTTAGGTTTAGATTCTCTCTCTGCATCACAAGCAGCTAGGATATCCTCAGTACAGTAGGTTGTGTTGGCTCCGAGCTCTGATACTAGTTCAGGTTTAACCGGGCACCAGGGGTCACAACTACTATCAGTTTTACAGTAGTTGTACAGTTTACCACGATGACTGAAATAAAAAATAATGATCAGAACAAAATTGAGGTTGAAGTTTTTGTATCTTAAAACAATTCAGAAGCTCTACTATCGGGTGGTCTTTAAAAGTATCTGTATGTTTTGAAGACCGCTGGATTGAGGCGACACAATTGGCTCGGCCATGATCAGAAAACAGCTTATGACCTAAGGTTCAGCTAAATAAAGCAGCACCACATCATTTCAAGTTTTACATTGTGCAAAGATCTCGAGTTCCCATCTGAACAGAAGTTTTGCAAGGTTCACATTTAAGAAATAAAAAAGATAATAAGAAATTAAAATGCAATGAACAAATACAGGGAATGCTAAATATTTTTTCAACGAAGGATGATGGTTTTTTTTAACAATTTATTATTTGAATTTTTAATCTTTTAAATTTGATACAGTTGATACAGACAAATTCGGATTTGATTTTTCTTTTTGTCATTGTTTCTCTCCTTCCTTTTTTCTTTGCCTTCTGTTGACTGACCCTGATTCTGATAATTTTGAAAAAAAATTTTATTTCTCGAAACCAGTTTTTATTGGGACACTCTGCTCCATTTTATTAGTTTTCAGTTTTGTTTGTTGCCTAACTCAAGAATGCCTGACTTGTGATTGAAGGTGAATACAGTGCTGACTAAGATTTAACTCATACTTAAGATATATTTTCTGAAATGGAGGTAAAATGGAGGGGGGGGGACGTCTCCCGCCCTTTCTCCCTATGATTTCTCCATTTCCCAACAGGAAAATTGATAATTGATGGTGTAAAGCTTATCATCAGAGTTCCTACCATTTTTCATGTGCAATGTTATTTTTTCTTCTTGTTTCTTGTTTGTAGGTTTCTGCAATTATATTCTGAGTTTCATGTCAAAATCCTGGTTACACCTAGTAGTCTTAAACATGGAGCACACAACATTTGTCCACAAAGAATTCAATTCCAAATACTGTTTGAGACAAAAAGATAGGGTTGAGGTGTAGGAGTTGGAAGTTTGAATAGGTCAGGAAGTATTGGTATCGAGGGACCAGCATAGAAAATCCCTACTTTCCTCCGATTTTACAGTGTTTCCCACTCTACAAAATTTAAGGTTTTTCCCCATTGGAGTTGCACCTAGGGATGTTAACGTTTTAATTTTTTTTTGAAAAACGATCGTTTTTTTCGTTTTCCTATCGTTTTTTGTTTCGTTTTCCGATCGTTTTAAAAGCTATCGTTTTCTTTAAAAGTTTTTAAAACGATTGTTTTTAAAATAATTGGAAAACGAAACAAAAAAAGATAGGGAAACGAAAAAAACGATCGTTTAATGATCGTTTTCAAAAACGATTAACAACCCTAGTTGCACCGCATTAAAAAATTGGGAGCTGTTGGCATTGTTGCTTCAGGATGTGGCATTTTCGACAGTCTTTATAGTCGACTGAGTATCACATTCACAACCAGTAGAGTAAAAACCGACATCTTAGTGCATGGTTCCCCACCTCTCAAGATTCTTCTTTCTAGGTTTCTATTTTTCTTGATTCTGGCGAGCTATTTTCTTTCTTTGTTTTAGAGGTGTTGTGACGCCATGGTTAATTTGCGCAGCGCTTCCTGTCTAAATATAGGACAGGCTACTTAGAGCAGAGCACTGTTTTCTATTTCCTAACCTTCCCAGTGATAACTGACAACTGAAAGGATGATGTTTATTTTTGTCAACCTTTATTAAAAGTTTTAAAACATGAACCAAACAAAAATATCGATTAATAACAACACCAAAAATATCTTGCAATGAAATTTTCAAATTATTTTCATTATACCATTTCATAATCAAAACTTCTGCGGTCTTAAAGCTGGCTTAGAATCAGTAAGTAATTAAGTGAGTAATTATTTATTTATGAAATATAACAAAAAATACAAAAAATTGTTTCAGGAGAAAATATTAAAAAAACCTCCAAAAATAGAGGTTGCGGGTATATTTCCCCTTGATTCTAAAAAGATATAAAAAATTGAAATCAAAGGAAAAGGAATGGAAAGGAAAAGTAAAGTTACATATTTATTCTTTACATTATATTTTGTATAAACTGGTGAAGGATTTTTAGTATTTTTCAACGATGAACTAACAAGAAAAATCAAACGTCTTATTAAATATTTATAAAAATAATAAGAAATAAAATTATTTTGTTGATTTTAGATTTTGTGTGTGTTGGTATTGGGTTGAGTTGTTCAGCTATTGAGTGATAAATGGATTCAATTCTTTCTCTAATATGAAAGCACAACCAACCATCTTGCCACAAACTTTTATTCTCTAATCCTTATATATTTACAATTCATGATGTTGTAGACCTTTCATATTTTAAATCAGGAATTTTGCTTGATTCGTCAGCCTTTAGTCTGTAAACTATTGGATTGTAAAAGATAGGGCTGGGCGTCGATTTTATGGAATGATCATTTTTTTCACGTGTACGAACAGAATTATCAAGACAGATGCCATTGTTCCGAAAAAAAGAAGAAATACACAGAATGTGTTCGTAAGTATATTGGAGCAATTTATAAAAGAACGAACGTGGAAAGAACAGTAATTGGTTGAAAAGAATGGTCTGGAAATGGTCTAAATTATCTAGATTTCATTCCATTATAATAAATATTTAAACATTCTTTTTGTATCCTTGTGCAAAAAATTAAAGTAAAGGAGTTAGAAGGTTAACAAAGTCCCATCAGTTGCATGAATTTGACCTTCTTCCTGTGTTTAGTTTAAAGTGTCGTTTACGTAATATTTAAAAGTTTCCGAACTAAATACCTCCATTGCTGCTCGCAAGGGCAGACGGCTCCCTGGGCTATTTCAGCCTCTTTAGCTTCTTTTAAAGTTTGGCAAGCTAGAAGCTCTTCTCCTTCACAGAACACAAACTTTCCTAAAAAATACGTTTATTACATTACTAGGCTAGGATGCTTCACACTCATCTGCTAATTCAACTTTAATGGTTGCTCAATCTTTCAGCATTTTCTCGTCGATGAGACAGTATTAAAATTTTTTTGCGGAATTACAATTTTTTCATAAAAATCAAAAAATTTTGGAGACAACTTTTAAAATTCCATAAACCTTCTCTGGGGTCATTGAGGTCACACACAAAATTTGGGCCTGATCAGTTCAGCTGTTTTGACGTTTATTAAATGCAAAAGGACAGAGAAACGGGTAAACAAGTAAAGTATATATATATAAAAGAAGATAGAAGAAAGAAGAAGGAAAGGATATAAATGAGTTTTAGTGGATTCTTATTACTTGAAGGTATATTGTGATTTTCCTGAATATTCCCTTTATTATTAGAAGAAGGAAGGGAAGGATACACACTGTTAATATACATCAGCAACATTTTTTTAATTTGTTTCTTAATTTAATTTTTTTAATATAATATTCAAAAATTATGTTTATTTGAAAACTAAAAATATTTTTTCCTTTTATTAAGTTTTTTGTAGAAGATATGTTTTTTCAACAAATGAAATTTGAAAAATTACAAAAATATTGTAAAAATATATTCCTTCATTGTTGAACAAAATTTAATTATTTTGACATTGATTTGTAACTTGTTTAATAATAAAAAATTATATTCTGATGTGAAATGAAATAAAGAAAGTTTGTTAATCTCAAGCTAAAAATTAAAAAAAAATTGTTATCAGAAAACTCAAAATGTTAGGATAGTTCATTTAGTTTTAGTTTTAGGCCTCTAGCAGAGTTTCTGTGAACCAGCCAGGTCGTTAGATGTGCATTTGTTTCCGGCCACGGAAAAACGTTAATTTAATTCAAAATCATCATTCATCAATTATGTAAATGCAGTTTGTGGTTTCTCTAGAAGACAATTTCCGGGCCAAGCACTAGTGAACTAGTGAAAGTTTTAATATTTTTAGATTAGTGATTGTTGGAAAAAGAAAGGGAAGAAGCATTGAAAGAAACAAAGAAGAAGAATACCCAGCCCTGAAGGTGTAGACAGTCAGCTGTCTGTTCTAAATCAGCCACTGATTGTTTACCCCTTAAGGAGAATTAAAATTATCGCAAATTCTGAAACTGAAAGTGTCTACTCTTGTTATTGAAGAGAAAGGTAACCTTGAGATATTTATAGCAAACTCCATCATGCCACGTTACAACAAAAAAGGGGGGGGCGGACAGGAGAATGTCTAAATGCTATTTTGCACTGTTTACGTACTTATTCAATAAATATTATTTAATTACCAATTTGTTTTTTTTCTGTTTGTGTTTTTAACTTATTAATTTTTTAACTTATTTAATTAACTTAATATGTGTTTAATTAATTTGAAAGTTTTGGCAAATTATTATAAGTAACGGAATAATTATTCCAGAAATTCTGAATATAAGTTTCCGCATTTGACCACCAGGTGGTGTCTATGCCATTAAAGAGGTGGCGCGTGCTATGTATACACAAATTCTTACATTTTTTATCCACTTTTTTTTAATAATAATGACTTGCAATAGTAACAGTTTTAAAAACAGTGTTCTGCATTCAGTTTTTCTTATAAAAATAATATAAAAATGTGGATTTTTTTTTATTTTCGCCGTTTTCAAAATATTTACAATTTAGGGATAATTTATTAAAAAAAACCTCTGTAGTTCGCTTTTCCAAAAATTCTTATTTTTTATTACGTTTTAATATTTACAGTATATATTGTGATATTCCTTTAGTACTTGAAGAAAGAAGGGAAGGATATTGTGATATTCCTGTATGTTCCCTTTATTACTAGAAGAAGGACGGGAAGGATATATTATAATATTCCTGTATATTCCTTTTATTACTTGAAGAAGGATTGGAAGGATATATAAGATAAGATAAGATAAAGTTTATTGCTAAAATAAATGTATCTGTATACAGATAGAGTTTACAATATATATTGTGATATTCCTTTATTACTTGAAGAAGGAAGGGAAGGATATATTGTGATATTCCTTTATTACTTGAAGAAGGAAGGGAAGGATATATTGAGATTTTCCTGTATATTCCTTTTATTACTAGAAGAAGGAAGGGAAGGATATATTGTGATTTTCCTGAATATTCCTTTTATTACTAGAAGAAGGGAAGGAAGGATATATTGTGATATTCCTGAATATTCCTTTTATTACTAGAAGAAGGCAGGGAAGGATATATATTGTGATATTCCTATATATTCCTTTTATTACTTGAAGAAGGTTTATGATAGAGGTTTATTCACAAGTACCAAGCTAGCTGGAATGAACAAAGTCGTCTTTAAATTGTCATTTTTTGTAGAACTCACTTTAAACATAATAAGTTCCTATTTTTTGTCGTTTAACCCAGTTCCTTTTTACTTTACTTCGCAGTATATAATATATATATATATAGAATAGATACACCTCATTAAAAGTATTTATTATATTCGGAGTAAATAAGTATATGTTATGTTATTTTTTACACCTTTACAAACAGTTTTTATTTACGATTAAGGAAATACTTAAAATTAAATTAAAAATTTTAAAAAATCGGATTTTTTACAAACATTTTGGAATTTAAAAAAAAACTTTAATTTCATTATTCCTGTTTTTTTAAAACCTGATGATGCAAACCCTAACTAATTGACCTTTGCCATTAAATGAAATTTTCAAATCCCAATATCTTTGTAACCCAATGTCATATTTCAAACTATGAGTTCTGTTAGATTAAAAGAGTTAGTGTGAAATTTCAACACTATTTTAACACTATCAGGTTGAATAAAATATAGGGGATTTGAAAATATTTCAGTTTGTGACAAAGACTCGATGCAGTTATGTTTAGAGAAATTGTTCACAATTGAAATAGAAGATGGGCGCAATAAACCTAGTTTATATGTATGTCAGTCATAGCCGATCAAACGGCTGGACCAAATTGGTTGAAAGTTTTTTTAGGAAACCCATATGTGTATCCCGGAGATAACATTCTATTTTTTTAAAGATGAATATTTTTTAAAACTTTTAAAACTTTTTTAAAAAATTCACGGACAACCCCAGCCTGTTCAACTAGTGTAATAAAAAAATAATATGTTTTTTGTTTGTTTTACCTCCATCATAGATGGCATCGTTAGTTGGACACCAGTTCGTTCTAAACGCACCATTAGGGTTAGCACAGTAGAGATAGCTTACACCCTAAATAGGAGAACAGAGTTGAGATTTTAAAAGCTTTAATCCGAGTAAAAACCGGCTTTAGCGTCAATTTGAGTCCAAGAAAAGCTCAAGTCAAGACTCAAGATTAGGGTAGACTTGAGGTTAGTAAAAACTTATCGACTTGGGTTCACAACTCAAGTCTCCGATGGCTGAAGATGGTAAATTTCGTAAATTCTATCATAATTTTATCTTCAAAATCTTCGGAATTATCTTTGGATCCCTGATGGGTTCTTTTTTTGGTAGTTATTTATCTATTTAATAAAGATCTTCGCTCATTTATAATATATGTATGCCAGCTATAGCTGGCCAAACGAATCAACCAAATTGACTGAAATCTTTTGAGGAAACCCATGGTAACCCGTTGGTAACATTTTTGTTTTTCAAAAATAAAATTTTTTTCTTCAAAATTTGATTTTTTTTATTCCATGGGCAACGCCGGGCACTTCAGCTAGTTATACAAATATAAGAATAAATTTAATTAGAACCCCAAATTAAAACTTTGAAAAGTTTAAGATGGTCATTAAAACCTTTTTAAAATTAATTTTCTTGTTTACCTTAAACTGCCATTCACCTCCCTCTAAACAGGGACATGTAGCTTCTGTTTTTATACCGAGTAGTAGACAAACAGACAATATAATCCTAGAAACAGATAATATAATCCTAGAAACAGACAATATAATCCTAGAAACAGACAATATAATCCTAGAGGAAGAAAACATAAACATAGAAATAGACAATATAATCCTAGAAACAGACAATATAATACTAACAACAGACGAAACAATCTTAGAAACAGACAATATAAACCTAGAAACAGGCAGTAGAAACCTAGAAACAGATAATGCAGTTCTAGAAACAGATAATATAATTCTTGAAATAGACATTATAATTCTAGAAACTGACAATATTATCATAGAAACAGACAATATAATCCTAGAAGTAGAAAACTTAATCCTAGAAACATATGATATTGTCCTAGAAATATACAATATAAACCTAGAAACAGATAATGTAATTCTAGAAACAGACAATATAAACCTAAAACTAGGCAATATAATCCTAGAAACAGACAATATAATCCTAGAAACAGATAATATAAACCTAGAAACAGACAAAGTAATCATAGAAACAGACAATATAATTCTAGAAGTAGAAAATTTAATCCTAGAAACAGATAATTTAATCCTAGAAACAGATAATTTAATCCTAGAAACAGATAGTTTAATCCTAGAAACAGATATTTTAATCCTAGAAACAGATAATTTAATCCTAGAAACAGATAATTTAATCCTAGAAACAGATAATTTAATCCTAGAAACAGACAATATGATTTTGAATTGTAAAAAAGTTTAAAGTTAAAGTTTTGTGAAAATCTAACTTTCCTCAAACTCCCTATATCCATAAAATCAAACCCATTTCTGCCTTTCACAAAGTTTAATGATTCAGAAAATCGAAACTTGAAATATTCACAAGATAAATATGCAGGACACAGGACATAGGACATATTTAGAATATTGGACAGAGGATATATAGGACAAATATAGAATACAGGACACAGGACAAAGGACATATGTAGAATATTGGACATAGGATATATAGGACATATATAGAATACAGGACACAGGACATAGGACATATATAGAATATTGAACATAGGATATAGGACATATATTGAATACAGGACACAGGACATAGGGCATATTTAGAATATTGGACATAGGATATATAGGACATATATTGATTACAGGACACAGGACATATTTAAATATTGGACGTAGGATATATAGGACATATATTGAATACAGGACACAGGACAAAGGACATATGTAGAATATTGGACATAGAATATATAGGACATATAAAGAATACAGGACACAGGACATAGGATATATATAGAATATTGGACAGAGGATATATAGGACATATTTTAAATACAGGACACAAGACGTAGGAAATATTTAGAATATTGGACAGAGAATATATAGGACATATATTGATTACAGGACACAGGACGCAGGACATATTTAAATATTGGACGTAGGATTTATAGGACATATATTGAATACAGGACACAGGACATATTTAGAATATTGTACATAGGACATATACGACATACATTGAATACAGGACACAGGACACAGGAAATATTTCGAATATTGGACATAGGATGTATAGGACATATATTAAATACAGGACACAGGAAATAGGAAATATATAGAATATTGGACAGAGAATATATAGGACATATATTAAATACAAGACACAAGACATAGGAAACATTTATATACAGGACACAGGACACAGGACATATGAAATGTATATACAGGACACAGGACATAGGAAATATATATACAGGACACAGGACATAGGAAATATTTGAAATATTGGACATTGGAAATATATGGAATACAGAGCCAGGATATAGGACGCTCAAATATCAAATACAGGGCTCAAAGTAAAGGACATATTTGAAATAAAAGGACATAGTATATTACAGGGCATATGTGGAAAAAGGACACAGGATATAGGACATAAAGGGACACAGGACACGAGATATAGGACACATAAGAAATACAGGATACAGGACAAATATGAAAAAAGGACACAGTATATAGGACAAATATGAAATATAGGACTCAGTATTTATGAAATATATGGAAAACAGGACACAGAATATGGGATACTAAATACGATTAAGGATACAAATGATAGAATAGAGATCACAGGACACAGCACATAAGATACGGGATACAGCTTAAAGATATCGAACAGTAACAAAAGAAATACACAGTTTAAAGGGAATGTTAGCATTATTTGGCCAAGTTTTCCTTCTGTAGAAATTCACATTGGGCAATTCAATTTTGTAGTGAAACCACACACAAAGTAATCAAGTTTCCAGATTATATATATATATTGATCTAATTCATACTTGATCAGACAAAGCTTTTAAGTAAATTGGGCATTGCCATCTTTGCACGGAGGGTCACTTGAAATTACTCTTACAGTCCCTTTAAGTGTAAAGAAAAGAAACCATGTGAATCTATGAGGATGTTGATTGAACCCGTTTTATTTGACAGTTTGCAATCAGGAGTTTTATTGTTTTGATTAAAACTTTTACAATCTACGTAAATCAACCTCTTTTTTACTTAACTGCTTACAATGTATTCTCACTATAATTTAACACTTTTCATAAATCAAAGTATTCAATGTCTTGATTACTACAAAGCTGACTTGATTTCTTTGAAATAGAAAAATAAATTCAAAATATTGATATTTGTAAAATGTAATAAATCTTTTTGAAATTATTGTGAACTTTATCATTCTTACTCACTTCATTGTGAATTTCATTATGAACGTGCTATAAAGTAATCATCTTGCTATAAAGTTAAATTAGGTGTACATTATAGCACGTGTGCTTTAAAGTTTTGATTGGTTCCCGGGTTTTCTCAACAAATGTAGGATATTTCCAAAATGGTTTTTTTCAATTGAAATGAAAATAAAATTGAATTACATTTTTACTTCTGCGTTGTTTCAAAGCTTATTTGATCTAGAAATGCCATTGAAATTTAACAATACTATTTTGACACGACGTGATAGAAAGTTTTTGGACTTAAATTTTCTCTATATCTCGAAGGTTCTCGCCTTTTTAGAGTATATTTTGTTCGACGCTAAAGCTCGGGACAAAATTAAATCTGAAAGAGAACATTTCTGTCCAAAAGATTTATAACACTGCCAACCAAAATAACAGTATTATAAATAGTTATTTTAATATAATATAATAAATTATTATAATAGAAGAGGGAAGGGGAGGGGGCCATATAAACTTACCCAAGTTTTTCCATGATATTTGACTTCTCCCCTGAACATGCAGTTGAAAAGTGAGGCTTGTACAAGGATACGAGGGGACTAGGAAGGATTAAAGAAGGATCAGTTTAATAAAAACATCTGTATCACTTCCATATAATTTATTACTAATTGCTGGGCAGAAACACACGATATATCCGGCTTAACTTAATACCTCATTATTTTATGAAATTCATGCAATATTCATTTTTATTGTTAAATAATTACATTTAAACATTTGATACAAAAATACCTTTGGTACCCAGTTTTATCTGGAAAATTGAATTTCCTTTCCGATCAAAATTTGATTCCTGAAATTGCCCCGGGTTTATAGCCCATGTTAACTCAAAACCTTCAATAATATCTTTTTTTATTAGAATAAGGGTGAAACTATTTCATTGTAAATGTCGAATCCTTTTAGCACCAGCAAAAATGATACAGTAGCAATTTGAAGGAAGTAACATTTGTTAAAGAAACAGCATGAAACTCATTCAGTAATAACGGAATTTAAAAACATAGATCTTTAGGGAGGTCGATTTTTGTAATAATAAAAGTGTTTATATGAGAGTATCAAAAGATCCATCTCAAATCACTAAATAACGTTTTTCGATTGTAAAAGACTGAAAAAATTTCTTTGACCAAAACTGTTTTTGTTTATAATTTAAATTCATTTTAAAGTTATTTTTAAGATTTAAAATTTCTGAATTCGTGGTTTCAAGAATAATATTTGATACCAATCTTGTTTATTTATCTTAAGTTTGAAAAATCTGTAAACATCTTTTTAATTTTGTGTTTAAGAAAACTTAAAGACTGCAGTGGTGCAAGATGTATTAGAGCATTTTTATCAAAATATAGAAAGAGAAAATTGTTCACTGCTTGCAAAAAAAAACAAGTTAATAGCTAGCAATCGAGGAAGGCAATTAAATATTACCTTTTATAGATATACTAGGCTTTCAAGCCGCGCCCATCTTCTATTTCAATTGTGAACATGTTCTCTGTGTATACAATTTAAAAACAAAAACAAAAATTTTTTTTGTGGATTTAGAAAATTTTCAAAAATTGAATTTTTTTTGGAGAAATTTTTGAAAATTCGATCATTCGTAAACATTCCCTGGGGTCCCGCGAGGTCCTACACACAATTTGGGCCAGATCGGTTTAGCCGTTTTGGCGTTTATAGGATACAAACGGCAGACAGACAGACACCCCCCAGACAAGCAAAGTATATATATAGATTTAAAACGAAATATTTTTTTTTTAGGAAAACCAAATTTCAGTAAAGGATTAACTGAAAACCCCGTCAGCAAAAATTTAGTTTTTATTTAAAAAATTATACATCTAATAAGAATTTTGTTGTCAAGTATGAGAAATTTAATAAACAGAAGTTTGTGCAAAATTACATTTTTAAAATTCAAATTCTGAATTTGCAATTATCTGAATTCTTTAGGGACAAAGTATTTAGTAGTCCTTTGACCAACATTACCGACCTATGATTTCCCCAACAGAAGGACGTTAAATTACTTTACGTCCCTTGGGACCATTAAGTATAATAACAACCCGCGAAGTTTTCATGAAAAAGATTTTGTATTTTTATCTCTGAATGTTTTGTAGGCAAAATTGGTCTAGAAACCCCTTGGTAAAGCAAAATTCCATTAACTATCCTGTAAAGTAATTGTAAATAATTATAATAAAAATAATAATAAATATAATCCATTTTTTTACTTTTATTTTTGAATATTGGTTAAAAAAAATTTATATACAAAATTGTATAAAGAATCATATGATAGCAGCTTCTGGTTTTTTGACTTTGTAAAAATCCAGGTGGGAGGAAACCGCCCCCCTAATTTCACTGGGGGGGGGGCGGTAAAGTACTGCAACCACCCCCCTAAAACCGCCTATGTATAATATACTTATTAGAAATTGCAGAACAAACATATTCTCATTCAATGTTTGAAAATGTCTTAGTACAGCTTCCTTAGGGGATTTTGAAAGATAGAGCACTAGATGTCATCTTTTCAAGATTTAGTGGTTGTTCGTTCACAAAGGAGTTACGCGCTCATGCCGCGTTGAATTAAAAGACAGAGAGTGAGCCTTTGGGCTTCTGCCTTAGGGTTGTTATGAACAAAAAGCCCCTAATCTAGTGTTCTATCTGTATTGTTATTAATCTATGCTTTATAGTTTTTAAAGTTTTTTAAAGCAATTTTTTTTGTGGACTTTCGACTTTTTTTCTAAGAATAAATTAAGTCTGAAATGGTTAAAGTTTGTGCGTGCTACTCTGCGTTTTTTCTTGAAATTGTTTTCTCTGGCTTTAGTTAATTGTACTTTAAACTTTACTTTATAAATTTTGTTGACAGTGCAAACACTTAATCCTTAAACTAAATGATCTAGAATCTAAATTTAAAATATAAAGAATTGGTCCTTAGAAGTGAATGAATTAAAACACATGTTATATAATTTAAGTATATTTTAATTTGAGAAAATAGTTGTGGGTGCATCAATTGCATATTTTTTTTCAACAAAAGTTTTAAATATCATAATGAAAAATTGTATCTGTTTTGTAATTATCATGGTATAGGATTGTTTTTAATAACCATATAGTATTATTAAATAATACTTAAACTATTTCCTTGTTTTTATTTTATCAAAGTTTTCTGAAAGTTAGTTGAACACATCCACCCAATAATGATTTTATTTCTGCTTTAATTTCTTTTAACCCCTTGACCGATTTGCCTCAAGCTTTGAATGGGGGAACTTAGTACAACCACGGATATTTTATTATATCTTGATTTTATTTATTTTTAAAATCTCATCGCTAAGCTGAGATGAGATTTTAAAAGCTTAAACCCGACTAAAACCTGGTCTTTGCGTCTGCTTAGACCCAAGTAAAGCTTAAGTCAAGACCCGGGTTTTGGATGGCCTTGAGTTTAGTAAGAACCAACCATCTTGGGTTTTACTCTCTTTAAGGCTCGAGTCTTCGTAAATTTCGTAAAATCTTTTTATATTTGTACATTTAAAATCTCGGGAATTATTTGTGGTGTCAAATTTTATTAAAGTTATAAAATAAACATACTATGAAAATAATATATCTATACATAAAGTTTGAATTATCGAAATTCACATCTCCTTGTCACAGCTGATCTGAAGGCATTCTGTCTGCTACAGAGAGAAAGCTTGCAAAACAGTCTCTCATTGGTCGAATCAGAACCAATCCTGACTTAGGTTCTATCTAAGGCCGAGTTTGGGTTTTAGTCGGGTCTAAGCTTTTAAAATCTCATCTCTGGGTTCTGAATCTAGTATAATATAAACTACCTACAAAAATTACAGACGTGCGAAGAACATACTTATTTAATTATTATTATCATCTATTTATTCTATAAAAATGTTGTAAAAATTAAAATTAAAAATAAATCTTAAAAAATACTATCTTACCCCGACGATGTCCGTATAATTTGAAAAACACTTAATTTTTCTAGCCTTTGTACTCATGTATTGCCTCAAACAAAAAATGAGCCAATTCGTTCCAGCCATTTTTCCAGCCATATCTAACATAGATAAATACATAAAAATGAGCAAAGAACTTCGAAAATTCTAAGTTCGAATAAAATTGAATATTTTTAAAATCAGGGATTGGGATGTGCATTATCTAAGAAAATAGAGAATATGCTTCCACTTTGATGCATTAGTTGAGGATAGAGTTTTAAAATACAGAAATAATATTACTTATGTTTCTCCTTTAGACGTGCTGGACTAGGACTAATGTGAAATAAAGGGACTGTAAGCATAATTTCAAGTAAATATTAATAAAAATATATACTTTAGATATTTCCATTGTAAATATCTACATCTGACCTTCCCATTGTAAATATATACATTTCATCTTCCCATTGTAAATAAATGCATTGGATATTTCCATTGTAAATATTTACATTGTATCTTCCCATCGTAAATATTTACATTGTATCTTCCCATTGTAAATATTTACATTATATTATTGTAAATATAAACATTGTATCTTCCCAATGTAATTAAATATATACATTGTATCTTCCAATTGTGAATATATACATAGGATCTTCCCATTGTAAATGTATACATTGGATCTTTCCATTGTAAATATATACATTGTATCTTCCCATTGTAATATATTCATTGTATCTTCCCATTGTAAATATATACATTGGATCTTCCCAATGTAAACATATACATTGTATCTTCCCATTGTAAATATATACATTGCATCTTCCCATTGTAAATATATAAATTGGATCTTCCCAATGTACACATATACATTGTATCTTCCCATTGTAAATGTATACGTTGTATCTTCCCATTGTAAATATATACATTGTTATCTTCCCATTGTAAATATATACATTGTATCTTCCCATTGTAAATATATACATTGCATCTTCCCATTGTAATTATATACATTGTATCTTCCCAATGTAAATATATACATTGTATCTTTCCATTGTAAATATATACATAGTATCTTCCCATTGTAAATATGTACATTGTATCTTCCATTGTGAATATAAACATAGAATCTTCCCATTGTAAATATATACATCGTATCTTCCCATTGTAAATATATACATTGTATCTTCCCATTGTAAATATATAAATTGTATCTTCCCAATGTAATTAAATATATACATTGTATCTTCCCATTGTGAATATAAACATAGAATCTTCCCAATGTAAATATATACATTGGATCTTTACATTGTAAATATTTACATTAGATTTTTCGATTCTAAACATTTCCATGTCAATAGTAAAACAAATTGCATCATTTCACTGTGCATAAATATTTACATTGGAAATTTCCTTATTGCATCTTTAGTGCAAATATTTTAAATCAAATCTTTATGCTGTAAATTATTACATTGTATCTTAATGTTTTAAACAGTTCTCGGTTTTAATTAATTTTTTTCTTGAAATATTACTCAGGGGATAACTCTGTAAAGCAGTAAATCTTTCTTTATATTTAGTGTAATTTAAATAAATTGAAATACAGTACCTTTTTTATTACTGATATTGAAATTTTTATTGATTAAAAAAGAAAAAATTTAATTGCTCGG